AAGGGCTGTGTGTGTGTGAACACAAGCTTCCCTAGCCCAAAAGGTACAAGTGTGCATTGTCAACAAAGGACCACCGTCCAAGCAATTTTTTTTTTATAATAGCAAGTCCAACCCACTACGCTGTTTACGTTCCGTAGTTTTTGTTTTATCAATGAATGTAAACATCGTATTAAGACATGGGCGGGGACGGGTTTTCAGCCTTAACTTATTTTTTATTTTAACTCAGAAATAACATGTTTGAAAACTTGTGATTTTTTGACTTATGCAATTGTCATGCTTGTCTCAGTTTTTTATGTCCACCCACTGTCCTACATTTTCAATTCAAGGAAAAAAAAACTGGAATTGATGACACTGTCAAATTTAATTAATGACATATCAACAATTACTTTGAATTAAATTTAATAAATCAAATTTTTCAAACGTAACAAAAGCCAAGTTGACTGTGAGAATGTATTCCCAGAAGGGCACCTTAAGGTGTCATTGAAAAATTATCCGTTACTGGGTTACAAAAATAATACCAATTTGCTCAAATTAAAAAAAAATAGCTGGTCTACTGTAATTTTGACACCTGTCATGTAGGTGACATAACCTGCTAGTTTCCAGTATGTTTCTAGCTCAAGAGGTTGTACAAGAGTATAATGAGAGAAAATCGTTAATTATTAACATCAACAATTGTTGATAATAATTAACGATTCTGTCTCATTATACTCGTGTACAATCTCTTCAGGGAGAAAAATACTGGAAACTAGCAGGTTATGTCACCCACATTAATAAAATAAGTGTGAAAATTACAGTAGACCAGCTATTTATTGAAAGTTCTGGGCAAATTGGTATTATTTTTGTAACGTAGCAACGTATATAATTTTTCAATCACACCTTGAGGTGCCCTTCTGGGATTGGTGGATTTAAGAATCTAATAACTTTCTTATGCAAGCAAAAATTATTTCTTCGGCTGCACTTTTTGGCGACCTATTGCCCCCGGCATTTGACATTTTTCTCTGGTGCGCGAGTTCTGGCGGAGCCTGTATTTATGAATTACCTTATAATTATAAATACTCCTAAATAAAAATTAATTAAAATATTCAAAATTAATATTTTTTTGTTTTCTGAGATAACCCTCAAAGACCACTAACTTCTGTTTTAAAAATATAGGAAAACATAGTAATAAAAAGACAAAAAAAATTTATACAAAAAGAGCATACCAAGTTATGATAAGAAAATCTATTGGCAACAATTGGTTACTGGTGTTTATTGTTGCCAAGTTCAACAGCCTACCGCCAATAACACATTAAATAAATGAAATTGTAAACAATTTGTTCGCGTACTACAATATGCATATACGTGAATTCATTGCTAGACATTATAACTTTAAATTTTGTTAAATAAATACAGGGTGCTTCAGATAAGATAATGAGCCCGACGTTTTGACAATGCAACCCAAAAAACAAATTTCATTTACGTTTTGATCTAATTTTAATTACGATTTGCATTTGCAATCCAACTTGTCTTATGTTGCTCTGACAGTGCTTTGACAAGCAATTTATGATTTATAAAAAAACTGTTTGTTTACCTTTAATGTTTCATTCTTTCATACATTTTGTATTGGGTTTATACCGAAAAGACTTCTTTAATTTCTCTATCATTTCGCGAGAACTGAATGGCACTAATGATCGTTCTCTGCGCTGATGTCAGAGTGACATAAGATGATAACTTGGATTCAACTTGCAAATCCTAATTTGAATTGGATCAAAGGCATAAATGAAATTTGTTTTTTTGGGTTGCATCGACAAATCGTCAGGCTCTTATCTTAATCGCTCTGTATAAAATGTGGCTTTTGAATAGTTTAAACTCAGTATATGTATACTCAGTAAATAATTTGTTATAAAGATTTTATAGCCGAGAAATTACACCCACAAATATCTTTTTGGGCTCGACAAGAAGGCATCTATTATCTGTGAAATTTAATACACGCCGCACAGTGTACTGGTCTCGTCTCGTGGACAAAAATAAAAAATCAAATTATTTTTGAACGTTTTATTGAGGTTCTATTATTTATAGAGAAGCCTTTCTATCTAATAGAGATTACACATATTAAAAAATATATAAATTTTGAAAAAACTAATTCCAAGGTTTGACATGTCAAATAATCTTGTTTCATACATATACCGGCTGTCCCAGGCAGATTTGGATATAGGAAATTAACATGGGAAATTAGTTTTTATTTTTTTCCGGCTGCAGGAGTAACAAAAACTAAAATCTGATTAATGGAGCTTGTAGTGCTTGAAAAGGGCTATCTTATCGACATTTTTGTCGATTCTCCAATTAACTTCATTTGGGCGAAAACGACCCTCGAAAAATCGAAATTTGAATTTGCCGGGTTAGCGTTACTAAGAAACGAACAATCAAGTCAAATTCTGACAAATTATCCTCTGGCAACAATGACTTGAAAAAATTAAAACTAATTTTCCATATTAATTTCCTATATCCAAACCTGCCTGGGACACCCGGTATACTCGTTTTCATATTAATGTACATCAAAGTAGACGTTGAAAGGGATCATTTTAAGGTGGCAACCATGCGAAAATTCAAACAATCCTAAACTCAATCTTTCCTAAAAGTTATTTTTTCAAATAAATGTGTAGGTACCCATGTGGCAAAAAATAGTTAAAATTAACAACGTAATCAACATAGGAAAATAAACATAAAGATTTTTGTCATTATTGATGTGATTAAATTTGTTTTGAATGACATTAATGACACTTTTTGGGTAAATCGGACTTTAAATTAAAGATTCATTTAGACTTCTACAACCTATACTTGATGCACATTAATATGAAAAAGAGTATATAAATTGTTTCTGTTTAAATACAAATTTTGATTTTTGTTCCAAAATCAAATGAATCAATGCACTGTGCGCCGTGCAGAAAAATAACACAAAAATTTTAAGTTTTTAGATATCCCGAAAAAAAAGATCCTTTATGATAAATGAGTTTATTAGTACAAAAAAAAGATACCGCATTCATTTATCTATTCAGTAATCAGTATTAAAAAATAAACACTTTTTTTCGACAGGACTCTGATCAACGCCATCTTGTAGTAAAATAGTAAATGCATAGACCCCTCAAATCAAAACATGAGTTGAACAAACAACTGTCGTCGGCCAAAAGGTTTTGTACATTATTTCTAAGTTAGGTATTTTACAACGTTCAGTTTTATTGAAGCACACAGTTTCGCTTCGTGCTTCAATATTAAAACCTTAAGCTGGAAAATTATATTATACCTAATGAATTAAAACGTAAATAACTATTTCAGTCCTATCAGTTTAACCTAATTGAATAAAATCACCATAAATTTTAATAATCCGATATTTTATTTACACATATTCCAAAACTGCTTTAAAATTCATTAAAATACTTTACCTTTGTAAAAGTCTAGAATGCTGCAAAATTAAAAGCTACGATAAAAATAAGTTTTAATTTCAGTATGCACATATTTGCAAAGTTTACGTAAAAACGCTAATGAAGCAGGAATTATAAAAATAAAAAACTTTAAACAGCTTTTAATAAAGCTTCTGCTGGCATATACTTCATTCTGTTTGAGTGAAAATTCTGATCAATATGCGTATATTTGTGAATCAAATATAAGAGATGTATAATTCACATGTAATCCAGAAAAGCCCTTGAACCGACCCTGTTTCATATTCGAATAGGTGGCATGGTCAGGACAAATACTCAGCAACAATGTAACGATTTCTAGAGAATTTTAAAAACAACTCAACAGCTCAACCCGTATAAAATTTTATTCTGTTCAAATAGTATTTTCTTAAAAAGAATTTCTTACAAAACGACCTTTGCATTATGTTGCTATAATTAAATTTTCAATTTCATACAAATCTGAAAAGATTTCATTCCAATTTCTACCACCCACGACAATATCCTTAATACAATGGGTGTCAACCCAAAAGAAAAGCGCTTTGTTGTCACATTAATAAGCAATAAACTCATAACATTAATGGCTTCGTCTGAAATCTACTTTTAGATAGAAAATTTCAATAATTGTTTAAAGCAACGTGAATTATTTAACCATAAAACGAATTTGGAGATTAACTTGACAAGCAAAAAGGTGGTTTACAGACTACACTGAAATTGAAAGTTGAAAGACCTGCCACGTCCAAAATTAGAACCGTTCCATGTGTCAAGCAATGCAAGAAAAGTTACTAGAGGCAGAAAGGATATCTATCTTATCATTTAAAACTGCAATTTTTTGTGGAAATTTAAATATGATGTAGCTTTAAAATGTTCGCAGACAATGTATCCATAAAGTTTGTTTACATCCATTAAATATTATAAATAAGATAGCGTGCGCTGCAAATTTTGTATGAAATATACAATGCTTCAGACTAAATCGATAGAACAGTAATAATTAAACGAAAGAATCTCGGAAAGCTTCGCTAATTTTAATTAAAATTGCAAATTTTTAAATGGAATTATCTTTTCGATTGGATATTCTAAAAAACCAATTCTGATGATAAAAACAGGAAATCAAGGAAAATTGCTTAAAATTTACAGGAAATTCAGTTTTGCTTTCAAGTGTATTTCCCCGAAGTTTCTATTCTTCAGTTTAAAAAGGGAATGTAATGTCTCCACGAATCGATATATTTCCCATTTTAGCAAATAATAGATTTCATTTGGTAAAACTTTTATGCGTAAAATATAGGTACAAAGAGCCTCTGGGATTGTAAGTGAAGCAGACATTACTCAAAATAAAATAAATTATTTCTGTTTTCGGACATGCGGTTGAATATCGAGCTCGAGCATTTGCTAGTCTAGTCATCCCTTGCCCTTTACTCCAAAGCACACAACCGTATTTCTATGTACGAGTATATCAATAAAGCAACCCGAGCAGCAGCTCGAAGTAGTTTTTCATAAATATTAAACTAGAAGGTTTTTGTTTTTCGTACCGTCACCGGAACATGTATTAACGCCCGACTTTCGTTTCAGTTTCAGATTTCACACAACAGCTGGGTCAAATGTACGAACAGCATGCCGAAGAATTACAAATATTGGTCGCAAACTTCCGGAAACGAAACGGTGAACTGCGGAAAGAAAGGTAAAAGTTTTAATTGGGAGTTTTAATCCTCCCGACGGATTGACCCTACGTGATTTCTGCTGAATCATGGAGTCTTATCTCGCAGACCGGCGTGCCCGAGTTCGTTGTTTCACACTTGGGAGACGCTGCTTCAAGAGGTGGAAATTGATTCTCAGGCCCTCGGCGAGATCGCGTCGATCTTAGGGAGGCAAGTATCACGGCCGCTTCTGGAGAGGTCCTTCCACAGGAAGATACAGTCTAGGAAAGTGTTCACACAAAGGGAGAGCTATGAGACGATCATTGCCAAAACTGAAGAGAAGTTGGTCAAGGTAAGCAGAAAATGTAGGGCTCCCTCAAAACTACGTGTCTAATATTTTATTTAAATCGAGATAATAATAATTTACTATCAGATATTCAAAACATTATGTTATCTAGTCTTAGATTGAAAATTTTTGAGTTTATAAATTTATACATAGTGTATTACAATCACGATGAAATTTTTTTTATTAACCCGAGAGATCAGGTTATGTGACCGAGAGGCGCAGCCTCGAGGTTAAATGGAGCCCGAAGGAGCAATGAAACTCTAATCGAGAATTGTATGCCATTTTGAGCACAATAACAGAAAGGTAATTTCTAAATTAAAAGTAAAATACAGAGTGTGTCAGAACTTGCGCCCCAAAGAAAAATTTCAAGTAAGATAAGGTACCAGGAACATGGAAAAATGTTTAATTCTATCTGTCCAAAAATTGTGACTTTTGTTTTTTTTATATCTAGTTAATGATACTGATGATCTTGTATATGTTTTTTTTTTATAATTATTTAGTAAATGTACAAAAATTTTGCCAATAAAAGCCACAAATATAATCGTAACCAGGAATATTTGAGATTGACGTATGCAAAGCTTTATTGAGGATTTAGCAGCTTTGCGGTCGGCGGTAATAATTTTTCACTGTTGATGGTACTCCCTGAAGATTTACAAAGAGCCGTGTTCAGAAATTTTCGTGGTAGGCTTTTAATTTATTACAAACAAAAATTTGGCAATTTATATATTAATTGAATATAAAATGATAATGCAGGTTTGTAAAGAAACAATCTCAAAATATAGGTAAATATTAAAATTAATTTTTTTTTTGATGAAACGTGCCTGTCCTAAGAAATGCAAATTTGTTTCTGGCTTCTCTACCGCAAGCCCCATGAACCACCGTGGGGGGTAATCGTCTTATTTTACAGGGCTTTTATTTCAAAAGGAGCCAGTGTCAATAACTTTTGACATTGAGTAAATGTATTTTCAAGCAAAAACAGGTCGAGAGAGAAGTTCAAAATCAAGAAAGTTACATTTTAAGTTTCATCCCATAGTCGCTAGCCACCCCTACTTTAAAATTTTAAATGACACCCCCTACTTTTTAAAACGTTTTCGGAAAGAGAAAAAATCAGCGTACCTAAATGTCGATTTGGGTTGCGATGGCAGAGTTCAAAACCAACATAAAATCCGTTTTAGGTTTCATCCCCTAGTAGTTACTTTTTTTAAAAAAGCACCCCCAACTTTTTGAAACATTATTGGAAAGGGGGGATAAAGCTTATCGATAAATCAACAAAATATTTTTTTATTTACGGTTTTCTGACGTTTGCGAATAAAATAACACAGAAATAGAGGACAAAAAGTTGGAATAAATGCTAAGATTCTTTTGTTCTTTTTTCTCATTTTACTATTGCAAACCGAAAAGCATTTAAGGTACAAGAAATGTTTTTATACTCCATTTTGAATTTTTAAAGACTTCGTAAACAAGCCAGAAGCCAGTTAATTTAGTCGTCACATTATTATTTTTCTTTACACTTTATGTCATTCCTTCAGCAAGTTGTTTTAAAATTCATATTCTTTTTTAGATTATCTCATTTTTTATAATTTAAAGGTTGTTTAGCAAATTAAAAATTAATTCTTTGTTAAAAGCATCGCCGTCTCCATAGAAATAATCCTTTTCTCGCCTGGGCATTTTTTGAGTTCAAGTGATTCCCGTTGGCGCTTTAATCTGGGGAAAATTTTTGACAAATCCAGTTATTTAGCTTAAAGGGTTCAATCTCATAATATCAATTCTCCCTGGCGTATCTGGTTTTGTTGTATCCTTCCTTCCAAGCATTTATTAATTGCGTTATTTTTCGTTAATAATTAAAAATTATTTAGTTTTTCCTTAGTAACCCCCGTAACTAAGAAAAAATCGGAATCACTGCTCCAATGCATTTTTTACGAAATGCCCAGGCGGGATATTGATACATTTCATTAAGGAGGCGATGGTTAAAAGTTAATGCGTAATCAACCCAAAAATCTATGCATCTGGTTGGTTCAATTTGGTGATCAGTGATCTGACGTTTGATTGCAATTAACTTAATAAGTTAATGACGATTCTATAAACAGACCAGTAGTCTACATTTTGAAAAATGTGTGTCATTGTTCGTAATATTATGTAAAGAGATATTTGGTATTGTGAAAGAGCGATTTAAACACATATCACACATTATCAAATATTCATCACTTCTTACATTCAATTCTTGTTGGTTATAATTTAATTGAAACCGTAAAAAACAATGTGAATTCCATATTATAGCAGTCTACCAATAAAGACAGTCATCAAACAATGTAACGAGAATTAATTTGTTTAAATTTTACACAATTACTTTTATTTTTTTTATGCGTACAAATAAAAAAATAACTATGCTACAGTCTATTTTTTAAATTTGCTGGTGGGGGTAATGTGAATCAAGAACAATGACCTCCGTCTGTTTTTGACATTTGACAGCTTCTTACAGTTTAGTACTAAAGTCAAAAATTAAAGCTTTTCCTGGCATTAACAAATTTATAGGGCTTAAATTACGATTGTTATCTATATACCGGGTGAATATAAAGTATGGAACCAAGCGGTTTTATTTTTAATCATTTGCCTAATTTATATAAATTAAAGTAATATAAAAAATGTGAAAGTATTTTCAGAACGAAATTTTGTTTTGTTTTTGAGATATGCGATTTTTTTTTGTCAAAATTGCAATTTATGTGAAAATTTTTTTTCGAAAAAATTAAATATAAAGCAGATAGTTGTAATCCTTAGAGTATAGCTTTCATGAGAAAAATGATTTAATAGTGGGTTGCCATTTAAAAAAATATTTTTTTTTGTAGAACTCAAAAACAAAAGAAAATTTCGAAAAATTTTATTCTTGTTAAATCATCACATTTTTATAGTACTTTATCACTCATCAATTAGTTTTTTCAAAAAATAAATAGCTAAGCAAAAAACGTTTGGTTCCACACTTTTTATTCACCTGGTATATAAAGAGGCTTGTCCTGATTGACCTATCAATCCACAGCCTAAACCGCTGGAGACAGAAATTTCAAATTTTCACAGTAGATACCTTTTATAACGTAGGCATCCAATAAGAAAGGATTTTTGGAAAATCAACCCCTAAAGGGGTTAAATGGGGTGGTGAATTCGAAGTTTTAAAGCTATAGCCATGAAAATTGGTACTTAGGCTTTCGGTTAAAAATAAAAAAATACGTATTTTACCATTTTTGGAAATTTCATCCCCAAGGGGGTTGAACAAGTGTAAAAAGTCGTAAAATATTTGTATTTTTTTTTAAAGTTAAATTCATGAAAATTGGTATTTGGGCTCTCAGTTAAAAACAAAAAAACACGTGTTTTAGGATTTTGGAAAATTTCATCCCCAAAGGGGTCAAACAAGGGATGAAAATTTGTATAAATATTTATAACTTCGTCATTTTTGAAGTTATATTTATGAAAATTGGGATTTGGGCTTTCGGTTAAAAATGAAGAAACACGTGTTTTAGGATTTTTGAAAATTCCACCCTCTAGGGGGTTGAACAGGGATGACAATTTGTATTAAAATATGTCATTTATAAAGTTAAATCCTTAAAAATTTGTATTTAGGCTTTCGATTAAAAATCAAGTAATACGTGTTTCAGGATTTTTAGAAATTTCACCCTCAAGGGGGTTGATCAAGGGTAAAACTTCGTAAAATATTCGTGTTTTTTTTAAGTTAAATCTATGAAAATTGGTATTTGGGTGTTCAGTTAAAAACAAAATAGCACATGTTTCAAGATTTTGGAGAATTCTATCCCTAAGGAGTCAAACAAGGGATGAAAATTTGTATAAATATGTGTTACAGTTAAACATGGAATGAAAATTTGTATCAAAATTTGTCATTGTTAAGTAATGTCCATGAAATAAGACTTAAAATTTTACGGTTTTTAAATAAGTTATAAAAGACGGACTTTTTATTTTTACTACGAAGTTCATAATAAATTATGTGTTGCTATATTTTGTTAGTAAGTTTCTTAGCCCTTCTGCGTTTTGAAATAGTTGTGGATGTCAAACTACTACGCGAGCGAAGCCGCGGGCAACAGCTAGTGATCATATAAAGGGTCTAAATATTAGCCTCAAAACAATCTTCCCCATTAAAAATGAAATTACAAATAACCTATGTGACGATAAGACATACTTTTGACGTACGTCACTAGCTCTGCGTTACTCTAATCGCATTTGTTAAAGTGAGATAAATAGCGCGACCAACCCTACATAATAAATACGTAGCGAGAAAGCAACAAGGCTGTTTACAAATGTTGAAAAGAGATAGCTATCTGGTACGCATTTGGAATTATTAATTGATCCACACACATAAATAAAAAAACGGACTTTACTAATCATCATCCAAACCACACTCACAAAGTGCTCAAAACACAAACATATTATCTTCGTTAACAATTATAATTTTTCACATAGCATTTGTATTATGAACAATATTACGTTAACAAAATTTGTTAGCTAAATGCAGTGAGTATTTTTTAAATTTTGTACAATTTAGGACAAATTTGCATGTGGGTTAAGCTAATGGGATAGATATTAAAAATATAGTCATAACAGGTAAGATTAAAAATTTAAAAAAATACTCCTAATTTTCTGTTTATTGGTAATTCTTATGAAAACTGTTGAATTACTTTTAACAGTCACAATATTATTAGTACAATAGTACACATGTTATTAATGAGTAGATTATGCATAATAACGCGAAGATAAGTTTCTTTTTTGAGTTTATTAGAACCGAAAGCTTGTTATAAACAATAATTTCAGTTCAGTTCAGTACTAAACTTTGTATTTAATTTGATTTGACTAAATGTATTTTTAAAATAAAAATTCTATTGTAATTTTGTGATTGTGATGATTTAATAAAAGCGGTATAATTCTGTAACAAAATAAATTATGCTTTTACCACGTTTGACTTTTCTTTTTTCTTGAAAGTAAAAAAAAAAAATTTTTTGTTTCAGTGTCGGCAAGAATATAAGAACGCCTACTTAGCGTACCTTTCGAATCCCACAACGGAGAGCCTGAGCTCCTATTTCAACAGTCACAACACTTACGTCCAACAACTCCACGCGACAAACGGGATGTTGGAAGAGTACGGAAAGGATACTTTACCATCACTTTTGCAGGTGAAATTACAGCACCGGAAACGAGACCGGCATCTCGTTCCGGACGCCAATCAAATGTCAACCCAAACCAATTGAAGGACATTACCAATTCATCAGCCGCCATTACCAACCCTCTCTACCAACAAAGCTTGGATTATTCTAATTTGACAAGCTCCGTGCCGGATATTGCAACTCGACTCATAAAATCCACTTTTATCTACCTAATTAGAAAAAAATAATGCGATTATTTTCCTATGACGACGTTCTTTCATCCGTGTTTAAAATTTGTCTTTGAGTACAAAGTGGATGTAATACTCAACGAAATCTATTTTAAATTAGGCAAACAAACGCGAAGCGGTTTCAACAAAATTTATTAGATTGGTGGCACGTACAGCGCGTATTGGTACAAATAAACGATTTTTTCAGGAATTAGAAGATATCTACAGTGATTTGTGTGCGGCGGTTTCAGAAGCTGTCGCTCAAGGGGCAGAAGTGGTCTCTTCGAGGGTAAGCAAATTGTTGACCTTTTAAACGTGGCAAACCCGACAAACATCCCACAGCAATTATAAATTTCGTAAACTTCAGTAATTTATGTTCCATATTCCAGTTCATTCGTTTTTGATAAGTCGCGACGTGATTTGTTGGAAAAGGTCATGTTAATTTATTTTCTCATCAGTTGTGTGTAAACAACCGATCAAAGTAGCGAAAATGTCACAGATTAAAATCTTCTCGAATCAAATCTCGTTCGTCGTTGAATGTTTGAATAGTCCATTGACGTGATGTAATTAATGGTGTGGTGTATTCTATGACGAACTTACAGTCAACCAATCAGAACCCGAATGGCCATCACTGGTGACAATAAAGTCTCATTCTTCATACCCTTTTCTTGTTTGACTTGTACTAATTGCAAAGAAAAATTGAAAATTGATTGGATTGACTGCGAACGTCAACGCTTTATGCACAAAATCCACTTAATCCGGAAAAATTAACATGTTGAGTGACAGTCGTTTCCAATTATTTTTCCGATTTTTGCAAATCCATTATTTTCCGCTAGGCGAAAGAACAATGCAAGAGATACGACGGTTTAGTTTCACAATGCAAATCCATCTCGGCGTCATCGGATTTAGCCCACTTAGCGCGATCTCTACCCACCCCCACGGGCCGGGCCCCCATTCTGAAGAGACCATTCGTTCCGCCTCAACCGCCCCCACCTCCGGATCCTGTAGATGGTGAGCCGCAAGACATGCAAAACGTAAGTTATTTAATGAAAGCGAGACGAGCGCACCTAACCCGAATTAATCTCCAGCTCCAGGATAACATCCCCCCACCGCTCAAGGACGAACTAGTAATAGACAGGCTGTCGGCCCTCCAAGTGAAGCCTTCCCACGATGTTTTGAAAAAGGAAGCGGCTGATTTAGAGGCGCAAATCAGACAAATCCAAGACGCTCTAGAAACTCTGTTGAGGATTCAGCAACGATCGGTTGAAGCGGCACTTTACAATAAAGCCAACGAACTCCAAGAGGATATTTCAATGAAACGATTCGATCTAAGGGTGGCCCAGATCCATCTTAGCGCGATCAACGCTCAGGTAATTGAAAAACGGACATTTGAAAAAGAGAGTTAAAACAACGAATTGATGTTTTTTCTATAATACTCGTATTAAGTTGAGACACAAACTTTTAGCATTTTAGCATTTTTTGTACTTTATCTTTTTGAAAATAATATTTCATAATAATTTTATCAGTTGCACATTTAAAACGAATAGAATGTTTTTATTTGCACGCATTATTAAAAAAAAATCTGTTTATGAGGTTGCACAAAAGATTGTTATATCGGGTGTGTCAAAAAGGTATAAGAATTTCATCACTAAATAGAAATAAAAAAAACTGAATTTTTAGTTATTACATATTCTTAAATGTGTAACCCCCTTGAAGACCATGAAAAGACCCGGCAATAAATATTAAACCCTTGAAAGGACAGCAAAAAATATTTCATTCTACAGTTTATAAAATTACACATTTATACAATTTTGCCGCTCATCTACACTCACCGGCAAAATTGTCGTATCAATTTTGAATTGAAATTTTTTACTGAAATAACGCTTAAAAAAATAAATGCATCAAAAATTTATTAATTAGCTAATTAACGTTAAGCTAAACTAAAATTACGACTTAAACTTCAACAATTAAACTACAATTTAATGAATATCAAAAGAAACAAAAAAGCGAATTCCGTGCGGATCAGTTTTTTAGCTTAGATAAGCTTTTGTTACATTCGGAGGCAACCATTAATACCTAGTATTACCTCCTCGAGCCTGGAAAGAAGCTCAGTTTTTAATTGTTGTCTCTTGAAAATTTGCGGTGATTTTGATTTATTCAGTAAACAATGAATCTACACCAATTGTTTTTGAAAAATCCATAGTCGACTGATTTACTTGATAATGCTACTATCCTATATCATTAATTTTAGTACTATTTCAGAACCATTTAGCCATTTTAAATCTTAAAATTTCAGTTATGCGATAATTATGCCGGTCAGTGTATAAGAAAACTAATAAAATTAATTATTTTCTAATGAATTAAAAAATCAGGCTTCATGCATCCAGCATATGGCAGCATTTAAACTACCTTGACACGTTACCGGAGAAACAAATAGTACTACTAATATGTGAATTTGTCAACATCTGACAATTTCTTACAAATTAAAAAAAAACTAATACCTATAAAAAAAAAATCAGTTTGTGTACTAGTAAATATTGCAACGTTTGCTTAGCACTAGGAACAACGCAACAGATTAATTATTATTTATGAAGGTTTTAATTTTTTACAAAGTTCTTAAATCACCATAGTAACACCTATCTAAGGTAGAAATGTATTCTTGACCTGTGTTGTGGTTTTTCTTTATTATGTATTATTATCTCCCATGTCACGCCTGTCCGACCTTTTTGACATAGCCGATACAAAGTTTCACACTCCAAACAATTTTTAGGTTTAAGGGGAAAATGTACAGGGTGTTTACGGTCTTGGAGTTGTAAATTGACCTAGTACTCCTAGAAGAGTACAGAAATACTCTAACCGAGAAAAAACTCACACAATTGTTATTATTAAGAATGTTATTTAACTCCAAAATATTGGTACACGGTTTGAGGGTCACTGGAATTATTTCCTTGTTCAGATAAAATTGTATTGTTGTAACAAATAAAAAAATCGTATCCATGACAATGAAAGAGAAAAGTCACTTCATAGTTTTGACACTGTCATCATTTGATTTGCTTTTGTTGTAGTTTTGATCATAATTCGAAGATCTTCAGTTTAGTCTCTTCCAGCGAAATGGTTTCCAATAGGTTTGATTTGTTTTTCTTACTTTTTTTCCACATTTATGTACATGGATCGCAAATATTAAAATAATAAATTTTGTCGTGATTGACCGTGAAACACAAGGTAATGATACTGATGGCCATTGCTGCAGATGAAGCAGCAATTCTTAAACAAATAATATAATAGTATATTATGTAACTAGTGTTACAAACTAGTTTTATTAGGCACGAGCGAAGCGCAGCGGAGCGAGTGTTTAGTAAAACGAATGTCTAGAGAAGTTTATACACGTGTTACATACTATACTTTTTCTATGATCACCACAAAAAAAAATACTTAAATAAAAAAATATATATTTGTACTTAATTTTAATTTAATTTGGTATTATAGTTTATCTTTGTAAATAGGTATTCCTTATCAGGGGCAGACGATAAGAATTCTTTAATTTGCTGTTTTCGACTTTTTAGATTTATAACCATCAGATTTACCCTTCAGTTACGCACACAATTTGGGATATTTTCTCATGTCAACATTGTTTTTTAGGTTAAGCGTCATCCGCAACATTGAGTAGACTGCCCACAAAAAATGCGGTTTCATCTTTTTCGAAAGATCTTGAAAATATGCAAGCAGCACATTCTCAGATAAAGAATTTATTTAATTTCTTGACGCCAATCTTGGAAAAGTTTATATATACGTTCGTACTGACTTCCAATTCCAATTAAAACATCATCTTCACTTTCATTTTCATTCATTTTTCACAAGCCGCAGCCCCGTCTAAATGACAGCTAAATGACAACTAACAGAAAGCACCTCGATGAAGTTAGCAGTAAGTAATATTTTTCTTGAGGGCAAAATTCAAATTACAGTCGACCAAAAACTTGCTACTCGCGTCACAACGCGTTTCCCCCAATATTTTCGTTTCGTGCAGCCAGATTCACACTCGAAAAATTATTAGAATTACAGAAAGGTAACTTCAGCCCGTGACTAATATGACAATTGCGAGTAGAAAAAATAAATTATTTCCTTTCTCAACGTAAATTTTTGTTTTATACAGGATGCGCCAGAACTCGCGCCCCAGAGAAAAATGCCATAAAAGGTTAGATAACAGGAACATGGAAAAAATGTTAAAAAAAAATTATCTATAATAATTTCGAAGTAATGAGGGTTTAAAGTTTGCACTTTGACTCTGTTTATTTCTGTTGGAAAATTAATTTTCCAAGTTTTTTAGCTATAGGCTATTAAAAGAGGAAACAAGGAAGCTATATCCTAAATTATAACTGTGTTCAATGTTGTTTGTGGCTTTTATTGGCAAAATTTTTGTCCTTTTACTAAATAATTGTAAAAAAACATATACAAGGTCATCAATATCCTCAAATAGAAATAAAAAGATGTCAAATGTCAAAAAATAAATGTCAAAATTTTTTGACAGATAGAATTTTTTAAACATTTTTTTCAGGTTCCTGGTATCTTACCTTACTTGAAAATTTTCTTTGGGGCGCGAGTTCTAGCGCACCCCGTATAGCGTATTACTTTTGATCTACCGTGGATATCATCTCATTTAAATTTCAACCTCAACACCGTAATCACCCTGTGTACAAGATGAACCAAAAGTAGCATTTAAAGCGGATTTTTCATTAACAAATAAGTCAGGTCAGATAAATCAAACAGCAGAAATTAAAAAAATTGTCTAATACCTACATATTATAATTTCTTGTATTAATTTATAAAAATGTTTAAAATATAGACAATTATTCACTTAACAAAATTCACCTTGAACACAAAACAGGGTGAAATAGCACTATTAGAGCATGAGCTTCCAAACTTTTTTCTTCACTATTTCAATTTTGTTTTCATGTTTCATATTAAAAAAAAATCCCAATCAAACACATACAATTTTCGATTTAATTGTAAACTTAACTCAGGTTGAAGCACTTTTTTGTTTAAAAATAACTTTTTAATAATAATAATAATTTAAAAAAAAAACGAAATTCTAATTGACCGATAAAAATCCCAATCAAACACATACAATTTTCGATTTAATTGTAAACTTAACTCAGGTTGAAGCACTTTTTTGTTTAAAAATAACTTTTTAATAATAATAATAATTTAAAAAAAAAACGAAATTCTAATTGACCGATAAAAATTGTTGTTATGGAGGTTTTTGTTTCAGAAATTAAGCAAACTCAAATTTTGATTCCAAAAGTAGATTGAAATTAATTCATTTGATCATGCGATAGAATTTTGATGCCTACAAAAACTAGTTCAGAAATTTGCAGAATGAGCCCTCGAAGTCATGGTTCAGAAACAAGGCCGAGTTATTTCCATTAAAGTTCTAACCGTCTACAAATCCAACACCTTCATAAGAAAATAAATTAAAATGAGTCCCTCCGTTGACAGTCGACAGACCTTAAAATATGTACATAATTACAACGTTCTCTTAACGCGATTACGGTTGAGGAAAACTTGTAGGTTTTCGAGATTTTCACCTCAAGAATTTATTGATCGTAATAATTCAACTTAATTACATTCAAATGACAAATAATAATTCACATTTATTTTCCATACTACCAAAAATTTGTTATCGTTCTACACATATTGTAAAACAACAAGCAACATTGAATTGCAAATGAGTTTGGATGGAAAAAATAATCCTCCCGACCAATTTTAATCAAGAGGTGAAAATGGAATACCGAAAAATCAACAAAACGATCGAAAAAATCATAAACCATTTTACCGTCGATCGGCCAGGCTCGTTCTCCACCGGAGCTTTTGCACGAATTGATGGAACTCCCAGATGCGCGGGAAAAGCTCTGCGCATCAAGGATTATCAATACACCTCGGGTACAGCTAAGGTTAACCGGTGACAATACGCTTTTACAAAATTTCTTAAATTGTTAACCGAAGATTTGATAATTAAGGCTGTGAATCAAAAGTCTGCCGTAAAAATCGATCGTTTTGGTGTTACCGCTGTCGAAACCCCCGTAGTTGTCGAAGACGCGCGTTTCAAAGCGCGGGATCGTCTCGACTCAAATTACATTTTTGTTTTTCGGATAATTTCTAAAGTAAACGAACCATGGGCTGGGTTACCCTAAAAGCCCATTTGGTAAGTCAGCTTTTCCACTGCAATTATAAATGTCATTATCGATTGTTGCTCTTTTGTGTATGCAATCCAGGCCAAAACACAATAATTTAACGATGCATAACCGGCATTAGATGAAATGTTGAAAATGAAACCCAGTTTAATTGATTGAGATTTCAATGCTTCAATGATGAAAACTCACTTATTAATTAAGAGCATTTAATTAAGACCGGTGATTATTATTTGTCTGATAAATTCGCATGAATAAGTTCAATTAGACCCAACATGACAAAAATATTGAATATTTCAACGTGAATTCAATTTGGTCTCAAACTGCCACATGTTAAATTTTAATTAATTTAATTTACAGAAAGAGCTTTTTACGAGTAAACTCGAAGGAGATACGGGTCGTGAAAGAAAAATGTCTTCAGCGTCGACTGCAAGCATGAAAAATAAATGGTTAAAAGCTTTTAAGAGTTTAAAAACTCCACCACCAGAAACCACGGAGAAGTAAGTCTAATATTGATTTATTTTATTGGAAATGGCCATTTTAATTATTAATCTAAATAATTACAGTAGTTTTGTGTCAGTTTTTATAGGACATTGTTGATTCAATAACAACTTTTCTAATCTTTTATTTGGAAGTAGATTCATCAGTCCGACTCGTTAACTGGTTTAGAACTTTCCCGATAAATCTATTTCCAAGAGTTAAAGTAGATTTGTTTTAATCGTTATTGATGTTTGTTTTTAAATACAGAAAAAACCAAATGTACCATGCAGTTTCTACAATAATTGCAATGAGGTAAATGTGTCATGCAATGTTAGATCACTTTTTGTTGTCACTTCTTTCATACTGCATTTTCATGTGTATATACCCATACCATTATGCATCATTATGTTACTTTATCAGCTCAGAAAGCTTCGGCCTAACTTCCATCTCAATCCATTCAGAAACCAATTTCCCTCAAAATCAATTTTAGTAGAGTTTACTGAACGACCTCAAAAGTATTCTCTATCAACTGACCCAATCTCAGTTACCAAACAATTCCAGCGAATTTAAAGAGATCAAAACGAAAGGATTTGACGAGAAACGAGCGCCATTAAAGCCAAGCTTTGTTTATTTTCAAACCGGATTTAGTCGAGTGCCATCTCATTCAACATTATCCTCACAATTGTTCTATTTCACATTTCTCCCATTTCCACATACATTTACGCAAATTTCACATCATCATCAGCTTGCATTTTCCATCATTACGTTTGCACATATATTAGCTGAACACCCTGTACTACTACTACAGTACGTATAGCTTTTTCTTTATGTCTAGTATAGTTTCGTGTATTGTGTGTATAGCCTGAGGCCGTCCTCATAATCTAAACTTTCGAACTTAGTTATGAGGTTGGCTTAACTAAAATTCCTTTGACGTAATAACGTTTTAAAGCGAATTTCAATCAAACAAATTCATATCTGACGAGAGTTTCTTATCTAGGAAAAATGGTTCGGCCGCGACAAGAGAGCTTCTAAAAGGCGATCCAGACGCTCATAATTTCCAAGAGTATACTTACAAGAAAATTACACCCTGCGATGTATGCTCGCAAGTATTGAGAGGTGAGTCAAAATAAATTGCTAAAATCACAGCTATTGACGGCTGATCTTTTATTAAATTAAGGACAGAATTGCGACGTCTTTCACCAAGAGTATACAGTACCCCAATTCATACCATGTTGACTTAATGTGATAATCTGTCTCTATTAAACGAACACTGGCGCACAATCTAGCAACTTGAGAGACTATTCCCGCTGATCATTTAACATACTGTAATTAATAAGGATAACAGAAATTCTCTAGAGTCTCTGGAGATTCTAAATTAACAAAACTGTTCTACTTGTTTAGAGATATTTTTTAATAAACACGGTGGCTGCAGAAAAATCTTCGTGGCTATATAGTGCTTAATGATGCTAATTTGTTTTAATTTTTAATTATTGGAATTACTTCTAACGGCAAAAGCAGGAAAAAAAGTAAATAAGAAAGAAAAAAAGATGGATTTTGCTATAAGACGCAGAAGCCTGTATCACAAAACTAAAACACTTAACTTAACCCTAACTAATTAACTTAGAAAACAACAATTTATTACAACAACCAAACCAAGCACACGCAAAAGTACAACAAAAAATATTTTATTATTGCTTTATTACGGTGCACACTAGTTCGCTCCTCCGGTCAAAAAATCCTGATAATCGTAACTAGTTCGCTCCGATGACCGTATAGCTCCCGTGAGTTATTTTGTAAAAGCTGAAAATTTGTCAGCGCATACTACCAACACAGCAGTGACCACCCGTGATCAAGAATAATGGGTCGGCCAAATTTACTGATAACAAATTTAAAAAAATGTACTTCGAAGTACCACTCAAACACTACGCACACACATGCAATCAGATGCACTAAAAAAAACGGTTAAAAATTAAACATAAACATTTTTTGCTAGTCAAAACATTTCCCGGGTCACAATCTGCGTACATCGGTTACCTCTCGCCTACCGAACATCTGGGACAGCTGGCCGATAATTATGTGATGATGCCACCGGGTTTTATTATTTTTATTGATAAAGAAGTAAAGAACGAATACATTGCATTATAAAAATTATTAACAGACTAGACACTAGAGTTTAATATTCAGTTATTTGTTTTGGACGTAAAATTTGTTAGGTGCACTGAATTTTAAAAATATTTAAAAAAACACCATAATTGTTTGACATATTTCCTAAAAAAAAGGAAAAATTGCACAAAATCTCACGCCTCAATAGTTTTTTTCTTTTAGAAAGATAAACTTTCAGTTTAGCTCTTGAACCAACTGAAAAAAAAGTTAATATTTCAGAAAAAAAATAATTTCTTGAGGGCAAAACTTTTAGTTTAAAAATCTATTACCTTGGATAAAATTTGTTATATTGACAGTAATTTACTTGTTTAAAAGTCACAAATAGATTTAGAAGGTAAACARTATTTTGTCTAAAATTAAAATGTAAAAACTCAAAAACAAAATCAACAAAAAGGAACATAAGCGATCGGCCGGCACGAGTTCGGCCGTCCTACGCGTGTATTATCAACGAAAGAACTTGWGACTCGACGCGGCAGTTTAGCCTGTGGTTTAGCGATCCGAAAGCAGGGACCGATAGCAAAGAAGTAAAAAATACCAACTTAAATTTATCAAATAAAAAAGCGGAATTTTTTTATATTTTCTTCGGAATAATATAAGAAATCACCTCATCCATTGCCAGACACTTAATATCGTGGCCACACCTTGTCAGACACCCTTAAGGGTGTTATGCAGTGAAGTAAAATTTCAGTTTTCAGAAATATGCAACCCAAATTGCAGGGCGTTTAGGCTTGCACTGGCAGCTGTCAATCACCGGATTAAAAGAGCGCCTGTGGCGACGGTCGCTAAGACCACACCAGACCGAACCTTTTAAAATAATCTTAGTAACATTTTCGGAATGTGCTCTTTCACTTATTTTCATATTTGATAATAATACTAATAATAATAACAAAATGCCAAGTTGCATTGTTAAATACTTAATGAGGATAAATAATCTTTTATAAACGAACACAAATAAAAAAGAAATTATAAGGACCATAAATGGCTTTATATTCACACAAAATATTTTATTAGACTTAGCAAACACTATACACTATAAAATAAAATTACACATTTACACATACAGGGTATCAATTTTAAAACTTGCAATCGGCCATATTTCTAGAACTGAAAGTTATCGAGAAACCGTTTCGGTGAAACCTTTGAAGCCTTGAAGCCACAGTCACCTCAAGTTGAATGAATATTTTAAATGGCACTACCCTACTTCTGATATATCAGTAATAAAGTAATTAATTAAAAACATTCAAAATATTTCGTCTCCTTAGTGCAGCAACTTGAAATTTATAGTTTTGAGTAACTGCAGTTTAAAAATTTTAAAAACAAAAAACTACATCTTCAAAGTAATCAAAAATTATTATTGTTAGTCATACAAGTGTGTAATACACTAACCTGTTTTTTTTAATGTGACACAAATTTAGGTTTTAGGTTTTTGAAGTACTGCAACAAATACTTTAGAAATGCCTAAAATTTAAGTTATCTAGTTGTTGCACTAAGTATACGATTTTTAGATCACATATTTTTATGTGTAAGAGGTCAGACTTATTTTTTCTATATTTGACCGCACTTACTACAGCCATTCGAAATTTTAATACATGCCCTAATTTTTGGTCTGAGTTTAGCGCATTTGGTCAATTCTTTTAATTTATTACAATAATTTCGCAAGATATGGTTTCTACACTCGATTTTTTCAATATAATAATCCGGGCCATATGGTTTAATATTTTTTATTTTATTATAAACTCTACTATCACCATCTCCTATAATTCGTTTATACCGGTTGTCCCAGGCAGGTTTKGATATAGGAAATTAACATRGGAAATTAGTTTTTATTTTTTTCCGGTTCAGGAGTAACAGAAATTAATATCTGATTAATTTAGCTTGTAGTGCTCGAAAAGGGCTATCTTATCGACATTTTTGTCAATTCTCGACTTAACTCTATTTAGGCGAAAGTGGCTCTGGAAAAATCGAAATTTGAATTTGCCGGGTTAGAAACGAACAATCAAGTCAAATTATGACAAGTTTTCCTTTGACAATAATGACTTGATAGTTCGTTTCTTAGTAACATTAGCCCGGCAAATTCAAATTTCGATTTTTCGAGGATCGTTTTCGCCCAAATGCAGTTAATTGCAGAATCGACAAAAATATCAATAAGATTAGTAATTTCTGCCAAAAAGAGAAAGTTTTAGGTCTTTAAAATTTCAGGATTAACTAAATCAAATTTCTAACGAATTCTTGTATTATGATAGTTTTCTTAGAAGAACCGAAAATTATGTTAGAAATTAGTCTTTAACTAATAAGCAGTGCTAAATCTCAAAAAATGCAAATTTAGAGCGAGATATTTTTATATTGTACAAGAGTTTTCTTAGAAGAACTCAATGATTTGCTACATAAAAAAAGCACTTTAGAGAAAAAAACATATTTTTTTAAATATCCAACGTATACCTGATTTTTTTAAACTAAAATTATGTTAGAAATTAATTTTTAATTAATAAGCAGTGCTAATTTAGAGCGAAATTTATTTATCTTTTACAAGAGTCGTTTCCCCTATCCGGGGACACACTGTGTATCTGCTTCGAATGCTGTTGTCATTCATTTTGCGTTCTTAAACGTCGAATAATTCGCGAATTAAACACAATGTTACTAGACTTAAAAAAAATGTAGCTAAAACCAGATATCATCAGTTTGAAATTCAACAAAAAGGAAAGCTTCTTGCAGGTACCGCTTGTGTAAAATCATTATTAGGGGTTAAGCTCTCGATGGGGGGTAATAACAGCTGTAAATCATGGAAGAAGCTTGAGATTTTCCGTCCAAGAGTAATGGGGGTTGCATCCATTTTTTAAAGTTTTTTTGTAATTTAGCTTGTATTATAAAAAAAAAATGAACGTAGCGAGGTGCATATTTTAATTATCTACATGTCAATAAAAAAATTGTTTTAAGATGTTGCACCGTTACAAAGAAAAACCTGGGCAAAGTTTTACAATAATGGTAATTTTTTAGAGAATCTAAGTAATATTTTGAAAAAGTTACATCATAGCGGGGTACGTTATGCTATTATTTACAGATAGAGACGTGGATCTTTTTGTAGAATTAAAAAATACAGATTTTACACATGGGTGAAATTTGTATGTTTTCCCGTATAAATTTTAGACACTAATGGAGAGCCTTAAACTTTAATAAATTGTAACTGTACTTACGTTATACTATAAAAGCTGTTTGTTAAACAGACTTTAGTACAGGTCATGAATAAGAATGTTGAATTATCTCTTTCTATTTCGGTGTTAGCTGTGTTACTTTTGTTTATTTTCTGCGCTAATTATTTTTTGTGCATAAGGCCCACTCGATTTTTATTGTCCAAAACAGAAAAGTTTATCGAAATTTAGTTAATTTAGGATAGCAACTTAGAATTTTACACTAGACTAAACAAACCTTATATTGATATAAAGCTTGTCAAAAGATCTTTTGATTGGTATAATAATAAATAGTAGGTGCCATTTGAAAAAAATGAGTTTTTGACATTTTTAATTTGTCATTTTAAAAAACTCGCAGTAGACACATGCCACTGAGCAGGTTGTTGAGTAAACACTTAAAAGACGCGGCAAACATTCAGGAATCAAACGGCGTTACTTACTTTAACTTGTGTGAAGCATTTAGAAGGTACGAATTTTTAGACTGACCCCTGCATTTCAAAAATTCTGGTAAAAAAGTGCCACAAATCAAAATTGATAACAGATAACTAAAAATAACCTCTATAAAAGTTATTTATAATTTAGCGTAGAATCCAAAAATAAAATCAAAACTCAGTAGATTCCATTTAAAACAACATAACTTTAGTGTTTTTTTAATATTGGGACACGCTGGATATAAACCGCAATATTTTTAAAATGTGCATAAAAAACGCAGCTATAAAAAAGTCAATATCTCTTAAAATAAACATTATAGAGCTTTTTCGGACCGTTGGGACAGCCTGTATGTACTTCAACTACACCACTTAAATGTCATGTTTGAGTGAATTTGTCAATTTGACATTGACAGTAACATTATTGTCGTCGTTGAAAGTCTTGTTATTGGTTGATCTTATTGGTTGATTTCTTGCTTTTGTTCAGCGTCTCATTGGTTTCTTTTAATTTAATTCCTTACGATTAAGTAACTTCCATGAAATCAAGCATAAATGTACTTGTGTTAGTGCAAAAAATTGAAATAATGAGGGGTCACCGATAAAAATTAGCCCCCCATCAACCTTTATTTATTCTACAAAAAATGGGGCCAATCTTATAAAAAAAACATTCAAATGCTGTTTTAGTACTTTACATATTGTGTCTGCTATGACACAAACCACACTCTGTAAATAAAATTGTGATTATTTGAGATATTTGAGGTAAATCTGACCGTTGTTTAAGAAGCCTATTATTTAATAAAGTAATTAACAGTACAAACTGAAATCGACGCATTGTTATGACTCTCAGTCAGATAAGTAACTTTCTGGTTTTCATAAAATCAGAATAAAAGCTTCCGAACGTTTCTAGTATGTTTTCGAAGGATGTAAGATGTAACTTTGTTTTGTAGACGTCTTGAATTTCAACTTCTTACCTGGAAAAATGCATAAGATCGTCTATAGTTTTAAACTCTTAAAAAACTCAATGTAAGAAATTACTTGTCCAGGCTTCTTATGTCTATGATGATTCCTATTTATGAATTACCTATTTTGCATCCGTTTTCTTCTCAACATACCCACTGTTCCTTAGAAAATCGGTTTTATACTGATGTACACTAAAAATTCCGAGTTTTAGATACAACATTCAAAACATTGGAAAACATAATGATCTAAGGAATACACTGCTTGTAGAACGTCATTTCCAATATACTATATTAAATTTTAAATGCCTTTGCAAAGAATCGTACAAAGCAACACTTTCATCAATAAACAACTTCTAATAACTCGTAGATATTGAACCTAACGTCAAAAAAATTGACGTTTTGTCATCGCGATGTAAACGTGGTGAGGAGAAACGTCAGATGACGCATCGGTCAACCTCCGTGATTTTTCCTATAACATTATTTTACTAGTACAGTTTTTTTACATTATTGTACTAATAACGCAATGGAGTTGTTCTACTTGGTTGGGTTCAGTAGCAAAATATTAGAATTAAGATACGCTTGAAGAAAAAAGTTGATTTTTACTACAACGACTATTAATTTTAATTCATACTGTGCTTAAAGAAATTTGTTTCATAAACTTAAAATATCCTTTTATTTCTCCAATAAAACATTTCTGTACCTGTAACAATTGCGAAGACAGTTTCATTTGAATAGAATTCCGAAATTTTTTAGACGCTACCCGTTTATTCAAAGATGTGAAAAAGCAGTCAAATTGTGCAATAATCCCGTCTTATTGTGATATGCTCTCAAACCCAACATCAACAAAATGTCTCGTAATATCTATATTAACCTGATGATTTCAGGGCACACAAGACAGGGTCTGAAATGTAGAATATGCAAAATGAACGTTCATCTTGACTGTCAGGATAAAGCGTCCAAATGTCAGACGAAGCAACGGTTATTAAGACGTCAGAAATCAACATCAGAGATAGAAACTCGAATTCAAGATGTGACCGCCGAAGACGAAAGTAAGTCAAATTGCAGATTTTCGTTAATATTTTTTCAAATTTCTGGTTTGACCATGAACTTTTGATATATTTATAGAAAAAAATGAAATGTATTCAGGGATGCCCACAATTAACAGACATTTGTCGGTCAGGGATAACAACAGACTGTACCCGCCCCCCAATGCTGTCATAGGTACAAAAACAGACGTGTTGGGTGTACTTAATGCTTCGATCATCAATTAACTCAAAGGTTGGACGAGAGCGTTTTGCTAATGCAGCCGAGCCGCTCTCGACCCTCCTTCATCTAAAACATGTCCATAAATCGCTTATTGCCTTCGTGTCCGAAACTGTATTGACAAACCTTTCTCAGAGAGTCCGGAAGTGGATCAAATATACCAAGTGTTGAAGCAGGCTACCGAAATATCAAATAGCAAGCCACGCGTTAATGTAGAACCCGCTCCACCCGGTATAACGGTGGACAGAACCGTCACTTCGAATCCGGGAAGCTCGGGCAGCTCCGGACAAAGTCTTAATCGGAGACCGGGTCCTCCGATACAGCCTCCTAGGGCTGCCGGCACCAACTTAGCCGTTGTCAATCCTGCTCCTTGCTCCACTAGCTCAGGTTTGTCACGACTAGAGGACTTAAAGGACGCGTTTACGCCAATTTTAGGCTAATTCTGCATGCACTCTATCCAATTATTCTCCAACTGCCCTCTACGGTTCGGTCCCGATTTCCCGATCTGGGGGGTTTACACACTTTTTAGCACGATGTTAATTTATGCATGTTGATGAAAATTCTTTTGCTTATCAGCACGGTCGTGATAACTGATGAATTGCACAAAATTGTATTAAAATATAGTCGACTTGAAATAGTATTTTTTTTATGGTCATTATGAATTAACAATCTCGTCTTTTCCATTAAGCCTGTGATAAGATTTACCAAAAATACTAAAACCATAAATCTAATTTAAACTAAAAACAAAACTAACATATTGAACACAAGATTGCAGTAAAAGAATTAAAATCAAGTAAAAATTATTACAGTTAAAATTCAGGCCTCAGAAAATAAACATTATGCAGATGTTTGTGTTTTTACAATCCATTTTTTTAGACTAAATTAAAGTAATACTAAACTACTCCTATTTACTGTATTTTTCAGAAAAAACTGTTTTGAAAAATTATAATAATACAGCTCGCTCCAGTCTTGTGAGAGCTATAAGGATATGTATACTTTGTTGGCCAACACTAACAGTATTTGGTAATTGAAGATATATCGGGTGTCCGATTGTTGCTTTTGAGACAGTGTTATACTTAATGGAAAACAAATCTCTAACTCTCCGCAAACTAACACCACCATAAAACGTTTTGACCACAAAAACCCTTTCTTCATTGGAGTAATTATTCATTCTTATATTAACATAACTCCAAATAAATTGTAAAAAAACTTCCACGTTTCTGATAACAAGTAGGTACCGCATATTTATTTATTATAAATTTGAAAATTGTATTTTAATTTAAAAATACTATTATAACTCTTATTTTTTGAGCAATTATTTTATCTTTCGATAGTATTATTTTACCTGTACGTTATATTAGCGAGCAGGAATCAGCAAAAATAAAAGCAATAAAGACCGGACACCCGCTATAGGTGAAGTCGCCTAATATTGGACACTTTTTATAAGCATAAGATATAAATAATTCCTATAATTAAATGCAAACACGTCTACACACACAGGATGATTTTAATTGTTGTGCAGAAATTTTAAGAGGTGATAGTATATACATATCTAAAAAAGTCAAAATAACATATAACTTAATAATGATACTAAAATTACAGGTCTACTTGTACATAAAAACTAGTTTTTATTTAGTTATTATTTAATTCAAATCGAATTTTTTTAATCTTTTACAACAGACTACGTTGTTTTATGGAATTTTGACAGTTATTTTTTTTATTGTCATGCTCATGTTCTTACGTTGACTTATATTTGTTACATCAAAGATTATTTATTATTCAGAATTTATGGTAAATTGTTGTTATTTTTAATACTGGATGATTATGATTGCGAATAAAATAGTATACAAACCTCGGAGAAAGGCTTCTTTTCAGTCTCATCTTTTTAACTGGTTTCAAACTTGACTCTCAATCAATTAAGCAACGCTAGGCTGTGATGAAGCTCTTCTTTACTTAGTATGTAATATACTATTACAGTCAGTCAGCTAGTATTAATAAAATTGTTTAGTTAGAGGTACTATACCCCACCCGGTACAGCGTGAACCTAAAGTAACGCACTTTCCGGTGATTATAAAAAAATGATATTAACTGATATTACGTAAGCCATTTTTTAGAAAAAATACATTTTATGTAATCATAGCCAAACTTAAAACTTCACAAAGACCAGGATTTTTACAATCAGTTATTTAACACTTTTTTATATGTTTTAAGCCTTTTTTTTTATTAATTAACAGTAAAACACTTAATATGAAACCTTACCATAAAAAGATTAATGAAAACTTTTCATAAAATAAAGCAAGAACACAAAGATAAAGCCCCCTTGGTATAATTTATCGAAAACTTTTATTTTTCATGACAATTGTAAGAACTTATGTAATATCAACTGCTTTTTATAATTACCTATAAGAATGTACTACCAAAAACAATAAAAAAAAATGTCGGTTGCAATTTAGGGATAATTAATAACGTTAGTATGATGTCAAAATGACCTTATTTACACAAATAAAATGTTTGAAGATTTTTTTAAATGACTTTAGTTTCACCCTGTATAGTCAATAAATTCTGAGTCTGGCAAAAATTTTGTGATTTGTTCATGGGGGGAATCATATAAGTTGAACCAATTTTTTCCGATATGAATCCTTTTATAGCATAAATTATTTACAAAAAAAGAAATTTGCAAATTTTTAAAATTATCAGTTATGTCTTTTTTGTGTCAGTATGGTCACTTAATATTTTTGGGAGCTTAGTTTTTAAACTAAATTTCTCCCAGAATGCCGTATCTTGATGCAAGGATTTTTTCAATTTTGAAATATAGGAGTAGTACAACCTAGGTATATCCTACAACAACATACTTTTAGCACCATTATTAAAAACAGTGTCAATACCTATCTACAGCGATACCATTATTATAGCTTTATTACTTGTAATATGCGTAAAAAAGGTAAATCAGATCACACTATTTAGTGGAGAGCAGTGGAAAAGTTAAATAAAAAAATATTAACGGCGTTATTACAGTCGGACATGTTAAGTTAATTTATCTCTATGTTGCTAAATTAGGTAAGTAATGAAATCAGCTTGAAGCAATGTCATCTCATCACCATGTTGTTTGGAACGACTCTAATATAAAAGCCGCACTTTGAGTTGTGCGCTTTGTTTAACACAACTAACACAAATTTCACTAATTTATCTAAGTCTTTATAAAAAGTGCGTGTTAACACGTTGACCTTTTCTTGGTATAAAAATTCTTGCAAAACGCTAAGATTTGGCCGTTTCTCCAAACGTTGTTATACATAATTTAGACCGCAGACAAGGAGCTCCAGGCACTTCCGAAAGCTCGTCGATGAGGCGTCGTCTATTTGCTGGAATGAAAAGCCTGACTGGCTTTGGTTCGCGGTCCCGTCACGGTTCTCCAGGCCATCGCTCCATCTCTCTGCCGGAAAGTACGCGGCTTTATGATTTTGATGTTATGTTAGTTTTAATGGCTGGAGAGGGAATCCACCGCTCCGTCACTGTCGTCCGGATTTTGACGGGGCTAAGCTTTAGGCACTTTGGTGTGCTTGCTGGAACACCTCGCGTCGAATGCTGCTGGATGTTCCCCCTCCGTGCTTTCTCCCACATGCTTACAGCCAGTAGATGTGCTTCAACAACTGACCACGAAACAATTTTCCTTTTAACACAGTTCCATTCCATTCGAACAATTCTTTTTACTCTATCCGAACAGAATTTCTAACACAATTTGTACAAATGCAGTTTGGCTTCAAGTAGATTATATTTTGTTTTACTCGATCGCTCTTTTCTTTGCCCGTTTCTTTTTTCTTTCCTCCTTTTAATTCCTTTAGTTTTCTCTTAGGCTGTACTTGCACAACGTGGTGAGCTCACATGACGGTAATTTCGCTAATTCCGTTTACAAGTATCAAAATTGTCCCTAACTTAACTGGACTTTATTACAACTTCTCGCTGCTACCAAGTTTCGAAATAAACTTTTAAGAGGAAAGTTGCCAGCTTCTAAACTTCACTGATTAGGTCATGCAACTTTACGTCAAATGACTACTGATAAATTCATTCACGATGCAACCAACTATAAAGAAGTTTCCTTATTTGTAATTTATGATTGAGAAAAAAATCTATCTTGATTTATGGACCCGCCTCACAATGCACGCAATGATTTCTAAATAATCTATTGTAGAATACCTACGATGCCGAATGCCGATAAACTAAAATAATTATGACTAATTCCTGACTTGCATAACTATAGGCACATCCGCCAAAACTCCTTTTATTATTTAAAGAGAACACCAAAGATGCATCAGAGCATAAAGTTTTCTGCAAATTTTATTCTATAGTAAAATTGTTATCTGTTTTTTTTTTCGGTAAGGAAACAAAAAGTGACATTTCAAATTTCCTACACCATCAAAAAATTACGAGAAAATTCTACTTTCCTCACAAAAGAGAAATACGCAATGCCTCCATAATTGATCAACTGCTTCTTAACCACGTTGTAAAGAAAATACAGCGCCATTATTTTCAATTAAATACTTTCCCATCATCTAGGCTGCAGCATTTCCCCCAAAGTAATGAAAAATCGTAAAACGCATAAAAAGAGAAAATAATTAGAAGTAATGTAAACAGTCCAATAGAATTATTTTTAACTTTTGTTTATGATAAAATGCAAAAGTTTCCCCTTTTTTTGAAGCTCCTGCAACGAGACGAAAAAAGTTGTAATTCTTAGACATGTTACAAGCGGTTTACGAAATTGTTATATGTAACGTAGTTTGAAACAGTAAATCAATATTTAAAACAATTAGAATAGGAAGTTTGAATACTCAAGTCATTATTTAAGCTGCTTTGGATAAAATTTTCCGCTTTAATCAAACTTCATCTGAAACTAATTTCTAACTAAATTTACATTAAAGATTTCAGCAAATAAAATGACACAATGTGTACACGAAAAGTATTAATTAATTATAAATTGACACTATATTAAATCAAAGATAGTTAAATTTTAATTGCAATTAAATTTTTTTTCATAAAAAATAGTAGATTATGTTATTAGGAGTAAAAGTGATTGTTTATGTGGCGAAGCTGAACGTTCATTTTGCCGAACGGAGTGAGGCAAATGGATTCAGCTGAGCCACATAAACTCACTTTTACTCCAAATAACATATACTATTTTATCTGCAAACGATTCAGATGGAACGAAAAGAGCAACACACCAATAATCAAGTAAATCACCTCAATAATCAGGACGCTTTGCAATAAAATCATAACAAACGTCACGCGTCAGTTTCGAAATTTGTGTTGAGATTTCGAAATTGATTGATTTAACTGGTGAATAACTGGTGTAGTTTATAGTGCAAAATGTCGAATGCTGATAATCTACCTTGTACCTCTCCAGAAAATGCTGAAAAAGCGAAAGGGACAAGAAAGAGACAACAGTGATAAATGTCAAAGTAAGTGTCAAGTAAAAGTGAAAACGCCTAGGCGTAAAAACAGTGTTTTTACTCCATGTCTGAAAAGTAAAACTTTTACCTGTGTCATTTAGTCATAAAAGTGGTCACTTTTGTGACGTTTGCAGATAAAAACATTTAACAAACGTTACACTAATTTTACTTATTAATTATAGAGCAGTAGTTTAAAACTTAGTGCATAATGTTTCTAATTTTCTTTCTCCAAAAATGATCAAAGCTTGGCTTGAAAAAGAATACTTGCACTTTTTTTCTTCTGCATGAAGTACTTTAATTAATTTTTAATTTAACTGCACAAAACCATATATTTCTACAAAACACGAAGTAAAAATGATACCAAAAAAACACAGTAAACGAAAAAATGTTTACTTAATCGATCTAACCCTTTTCTCTTATTTGTATCATTAAGACACCACATTGTGTAAATACAACAGCATTTATTCTTCTTTATGTAATAATTTCCAGTTTGCTACAAAATCTCTAACAGGTTTGGTCGCAAGGGAGATGGAGCGAACGAGTAAAACAATACAAAAAAACGGCTTAATGTAAGAATATTTAGCGGCAACTTGGCAATTTTCTTGTATGACGAAGACCCCCCATTAAAAAATAATCAATCATTTTTTGTGTTTTCGTCAAACAATGGAAAATATTTCGTGCAACTATCTTCGAAATACGACTAGGAAATCCCAGACTAAAATCCAACTTGTACTTAAATTTTCAGAACGAAATTCCCAAGATGCCTCTGGTACACGTCCTTTCGGACAGCCGTTGTGTATCGGTCCGCAAATTAACGACAAGAATGGCCTTGACCTACCCCCCACCCCTCCGTCGCCCTCACCCTCAAAAGGGAAGGGACAACCAATCCTAAAAAAGGGCTCAAAATCCAAAAAATAAACCTTTTTACTTTAAATTACTGTTAATTAATTCTATCGATTATTATCGAATTGTCCTTTAGCAAATTGCTCAAAATATTTTTTGAATTGTTTATTTATCATCGTTTCATTTTATTTTTGTTAAATTGTTCCAACTGTGATAAATAAAATTTGCGAGGCTGTAGGTTCTTTGATTACAATATTTTAACTTTTCAGCAGTAAGTAGAAGTTTAATTTTTTAAGTTGATAACAGTTTGTGGTGATTTTTTTGACATTAACTATGAATTAATCCCCCAGAAAGTGTTCTCTGTTTTTTATCCTTCCACCTTGCCACCTCCGACCACTGATATAGTTAAATGTGTGTTAGTAGTGTTGTATTACTAGGTTTACACGTTTGCTTGTAGTGTACGTTTAACTGTCGTGTAAACGTAGTAATAGTACAGATTTTTTGATGTTGTTTCGTCAGGGACAAGCATGAAGTCTTCTCCCAGTGCTGTGACGTTTTATCTAAACATGGGAAACTGCGATAGTAGCGGTCTGTATAAAAACAAAATTTTTAGATTGGTAGCAGGCAACTTCAAGAAAGACATCTTGAAGCCGCCTACACAATTCACATGTAGCTGAAATTGACCATTAGAAGAGTTCCCCATAGTTAACAGGTCGCCTCACATTTCTCATGTAGTCACATCAAAAACATGTGACACCGTCGAATTTTGAGCCAACCTGTGATAACCGATAGCGTTCTAATGCGAATATTGAATCTCTCTAGTTTTTTTCCAAAGAACAACTTAGCGTGAGGTCAAGTATTCGCATTGTAGATTCCAATAATTCGTAGAAATCAGCACTTGTCGAGAACACTGCACTTGATGGAATTGCATGTTATTGCCCTCTGTTTAAGTGTGCGGATCTAGTACGTGACGTAATGAAAATTTCTGTTAGCTCCCCATTCTCCGCGACGCCAAAAATTGAACTTGAGAATGAAGAGTTTATCGTTGGATTCCCCGGAGAGCACCGAACACGTTCAGAGAAGGAAACACCACGGGGTGAATGTTGCCAGCGACCCTCACTCTAATCAAAGTTCATCATCAAGAATTCAGTGTATGAGGAGCTTACTTTGTGTTGTGATTTGTTCTTTTCTTGAAAAATCAAAATACGATAATTTTTTCAGGCTTATTTAGTTTTCCAGAATGCACAGCTCTTTCCCAATGCACGTAATCTAACCAACTTATGATTCCGTTTAACAATTTTCTAATTAATGCATGCTGTTCCCAGTTGCCATTCCTGCAAGATCTATCCACAGCCACCACGTAACTCGAAGTGATCTCAAAGCAAAATCAAGTATGCATTTTGCAATTTCCAAAATCTTATACTTTAAATTCTTTCCTGCCAAACTGTCAATAAAAACTGATTGTTTTCGTACAGCTCCTTCGAGTCCTGTACACAATCGCCGCTTGCTCTCAGCAAAAAACATCAGAATGTCATCGGTGGAACTCCCTGATGAGAACGATAAGAGTCCTTCATCGGCAAGCACTTCCCCTTGCCCAAGCCCTGTCGGAGCAAAAGTAGCGCAGCACAAAAAAACATCAAACTTTTAATTACGAGATTTTTCAGAAATCGCATCGTTTATTACCCACAAACTTATACGTAGTTCTTTATAACTTCAAATCTCGACATCAAGACGAACTTGACCTGAAGGCTGGGTACAAAGTGACTGTAATTGATACTTCAGATCCAGATTGGTGGAAAGGGAAATGTCTAGGTCGGGTTGGCTTCTTCCCGTCTAAGTACGTTTCAAAATTATCGCCGGGGGAGAAACCGCTTCAGGTAAGGAACACATCAAAAGGTCATGTCATGTTCTCGATTAGATTAGCTCTGTCCCGAAGCCACCTACGTTTCTTTTTTGGGATATTGACAAACGTTATCGAATTGAAAACTTATTCCTTGCCTCATAGCACCCGATTAAATAAAATTTGAAGCAACATCCCTCAATACTTATATGTATTATAGGTATTCTATTTGCAATTAGTGCTAGACGTATGAAACCTTAAAAAATAAAGCTATGAAAAAAGTTCTTTTGATAAATGATTAAAGCTTTTAGTGTTACCGACTTTGTGCGCTTACCTCGAGGTCTCATAAATCGAAAATATACATCACGTAAAAAAACGCAACTATTTTTTTTTCTTGGAATAAATATCTTCAATTTACTAACCCTAACACGAATCCTAATACATCGCTAAATTTTATAACTGGAACAACACGCCAAACAGTCATCATCACATTTTTGCTTTTTTTTCAACTTCTGTAATTGAAATACCTAACAAAACCAATTTTTCAAACAAAATTTTGCAAATTTATTTAAATAAAGTTAAAATTTATTTTCTTGAACTTATGAAACTAATACATTTGATTGTCATAGAAATGTTTCTTTCTGCCAGCATCTACAGGATGTTTCATAACTCGCGTCCCTAAAAAGTATCAAGTAATATAGGATATTAGGAATATGGAAAAATGTTTAAAAATTATATCTGTCAAAAAATTATAAGATTATTTTTTTGTTGAGATTTGACCTTTTTTACGTCTGTTTATTTTTACCGATGATCTTGTATAATGTTTTTTCATAATTATTCAGTAAAAATACAGAAATTTGCCAATAAAAGCCACAAACAATTACAATTCAGGAAACAGCTTCTTTGTTTCCTCTTCTAATAGCCTGCAAAAAAAAAAGATGTAAAATTATTTTTCTAGCAGAAATAAATAAAGTAAGTCAAAGTGCAAAATTGAAACTCTCTTGATTTTGAAATACTTATAGGCAGAATTTTTTTTAAATTTTTTTTTCTATGTTCCTGATAATCTTATCTTACTTTGTATTTTTCTCCGGAACGCGAGTTCTGGAAGACCTTGTAGACAAGAGGGACAAAAAAGACAAGAGGGGCCTGATCACGCTTGCATAATACAAGGGTATTTTTGGAGTAGTAAGATACCAATTTAGGGCGGTTTTAGGAAAAACTATCAAATGCATTTTTGAGATAAAGGGTCAAACTAAGGATTGACAATTTTTAAGAAGGGCCTAAACACTGTCGTGTTGAAAAAAAGGTATCTTTGGGGGAGTAAGATACATATTTAGAGTAGTTTTTGTGGAAAACTATTAAATGTCTTTTAGATAAACGATCAAACTCGAGTTTGTTAATATTCCTGATTTTCAATGTTATCGTTTTGACGAGAAAATTAAAAAAACTATAGGCAGTTTTTTGAAAGTTTCATGTCCACAAAAAAGTTTATACACAGTCTCATTTGAAACCTATTCAAGTAAAAATTGTTTCAAACTTTCAAGAAGTACGTAACCAAAATATCGGTGGTTGTGTGGAAAAAAGGTCAAAATTTTGATTGTCAAATAAATTTAATAAATAATAAAATGAGATAACTAATTCTCAAACAAACTTCAAGGTAAAAACTGTAAGTAAATAAATTCGTACACTTAGTACAGCACCTAGCTTTCAGAAATGTGACAGCTGTCAATGAGGTGACATATGACTGAAATGATAAATATGTGCGATCAAAAATAAATAAATTAGAGTAGGCGGTGATTAAAGTCCTTCAGATGGTAATCCTGATATTTGACATCAAACGTCAGCGAAAACTTTGCCAAGTTTGCGTTTTATTCATTTTGAGTGAAATAATGTTCACGTTAGAGCAGAAAATTTTTATTGTTGTACAAGACGAAAACGGTGAATAGTTATTTTCACTTTCAGTAGTTTGTGTGGAAATTTTCCAGTCCAGATTCCTAGCCAACTGTAGAATATTAATTGTCGTCTACTCTATTTTTTTTTTTGATCGCACGGTAGATAATCGGTACGTGCAGTTTTCTTCAATTTAAACTGCCCTTCTCACGAGTGCTGTATAGCGTTTTGTTCAATCCTTTCAGTGAATTTTGGAACACAATTGAAATTTTATAATTTGTGCAATTTATATCATTAAACATAGCGGGCACTTTCGATGTCATTACGTGAGGTAAAAGTATGAGGTAAAACCCTAAATAAATAAACATGTTGAGCAATTCTAAACGAAAGAGAGTGGACATAGCAAACAATATGATTCAGTAAACCAAGTACTTCTTTCTCATTTTGTATCCCAGTGAGAAACGCCAAGTTTCGATAGCAGGATTGAACACAAGTTTCTTTTTTTTTTGTTGATAATTTTTTAGAAAAATTAGTGTCATCGTTTATGAAAGATTGCTTAATAATTCGTGCTTAGATAATACAAAATAACAAACTATAAACTACAGAAGATTCAAAACAACTCACTTTTGACATAAATAAATTTGAACATGTCTCCTAAAACAAAAGTTGATTATATTTATCGGCAAGAGTTGAATAGGTACCTTCATATTTTTTAAACTGATGTCAACATCTTCTCCATTCTACCCCAAGAAAAAAATTAGATGTATAAAAAACAGTTAAAATATCTACGTTTGTCATGTTACTCAAATTTCAATGTCCCAGGTTAAAACATACATGTTTCACTGTTCACTAGTTTATACCTTTTTCAATCAAATAAGACAGTGAATAAATTTCGCAAAGTTCTTGTTTTCATCTAATTGATTGATTAATTTTAATTTTGTATTATTACGTTTTCTTTCTTTAATTTCTTATTGTAAGTAGGTATTTTATTTTGTTCCATTCATGTATTTGGTTTTATTATTATTATTTTGTTATTTTCTCTGTGGTTCAGTTGAATAATCTACGGCTGGACTTCGTTCTACAGCATGCAGTATTATTTGTTGTTTTTTATTTTATTTCATTTTTTATTAAACAGAGGCCTATTACCATTATTATCAAATGTCATTAGGTAACCCACAACTTGCAAGTATCAGATGGTGACAACGGTCTGATGCTATTAAGGGACCAAATAGTCATACAAATCGGTGAAGAATTGGATGGCATGGTGATGATTCGTTCCGGTGACAACCGTCAAGGTGTTTGTCCTGTCAAATTCCTTCAGGAAGTGTGACATCGCAGCGAAGTAGCATGTCAAGCCACTCACACTTGCAACTGTTCAGCAAAACAAATCTCCGCCCCCAACACGCTAAAGAAGATCTATTACCCCAACCCAGCCAAGATAATGATTCAAAACAACGTGCTGCTTTCTAAGCAAAACAATAAGAAAAACATCAATGCCGGGAGTATTCTACAGTATTACTACAACAATTTCAATAAGAACACTTCGAAACAAACCAACGTTTACAACAATAACGTGTTGCAAAGGCGCCGGAATGAGCTAGCGTTTCTTCATGGAAAAGCTCCATTTTCCTCAACCAAACGTCCTTTATCCATACGATTATCCACACCTAAGCACGTGGTGAATTTCTTTAGCAAACCGTTCCGTTCCGATTCCCAAAAGCGTCCGCTCTTGTTACAAAACTCTTCGAATTATCCGAGCAACCCCAATTTTAAAATTGTACCTAACAAAAACGCTCTTAAAATTTCGTCGATATACACCATCAGCGACAATGTCGACAAATTTAGTTTGTACCGAAAAAATTTGTACATCTCATCGAATAGTAGGCCTCTTTTTGTGAGAAAATGAGGAAGTAGTTTCACCTATTTTTGTAAATGATACCTTTCAATACATGTGATCTAGAAATATATCAGCACGTCCTCGTATGTCTTATGAGCACTTTACCAATTTGTTTCAAAAATCAAAGTACGGATACAACAATTTGTTTTGAACCTGTGAAATATAGGACCGTACGTGTCTAGTTCGTTAATTAGCTTTGTTCTTTATTGTTATCAGGGTTTACGAGAAGCATTTATTTTGATAAGAAAAGGTAAATCGAAAAAATAAAATATGTAAATGAAATCCAAATGAAGGCTTCCGATTTATGATTTCGTACACTCTGTGTTAGGAACATTCCAAAAATGAACTAAATAACATTGTATAGAGTTTATAATTATTTTGCAAATAAAATAGAGTAATTATGTTAAGGAATTGATTATTGAATATATCATATATTTAATAAATGTTATATTTAGATTATTTGAGAATTCATAATTGTATGTTGAGTAATAAATAAATGAACTGTTTGTGCAATATGACACATCGTTCCAAAGACTGCTTTGAAACTGTGCTGTATATAGTCATACAAGTTGTGGCATTTTTAGGCCACTCTATGGCCTTGCATGACATTTTATTTAGCCTAAACTGGCCTAGAAATCAATTCTTTACTGAATGATGACATTTATTTAATGTTGTACGCTTTAAAAATATGCAGCACACTTTCAGACTGTTATGCACATGACCAATTTAAAACCTTTAGTATTAAAATTATAGTACATAATCGAATAAGTTATTGTTTAAATACAATTTATTTATTGTTTGTACATCATGACCATTACATTATTAATATGACACAAAAATGGTTCTACACTCGTTATAAATGTTTACAAACATTAGTTCACTCTTTGTGTTACAAAACACAAAAGCACATTGTTGAGTACTGGATGTGTAACTAACCTCATATTTAATAAAAAAAAAACAATATCAATTTGTTTTGTCTTGAATCGCGACATACTAATTTAGTTATAGAAAATTGTTTAAAGTAAATCTAGAAATTCAAAGTGATCAAAAATGAATGAATCTGTTGGCAATCCTGACTTTAATTTTTAAATGATACAACTGGAGTATGCTTCTGATTAACAACAATTTCACAATCTTGAGAGGTTGTACGTCAAGTATTTGTCAAGCAAAACGGTATCCGGTCGCAGTGTTACAAATCATTAACAAAAATACCGTGCGATCAAAAAAATAAATAAATTAGAGTAGGTGTTGATTAAATAAGTCCTTCAGATGGCAATCCTGATTTTTGACATCAAATGTCAGCGGAAACTTTGACAAGTTTGCGTTTTATTCATTTTGAGTGAAATAATGTTCACGTTACAGCAGAAAATTTTTATTGCTGTACAAGACGAAAACGGTGAATGATCATTTCTACTTTTAGTTTGTGTGGAAAATTTCCAGCCCAAATTCCCAGCCAATGTGTTGCCAACTGTAGAACATTAATTGTCGCCTACTCTAATTATTTTTTTTTTGATCGCACGGTAGCTAATCGGTACGTGCAGTTTTCTTCAATTTAAACTGCCCTACAGTTGTTTCAAGTAAAACAGTAGTATATTACAGCACGAGTGGAGAAGTTTCTCTTGTAGTTACAAGATCCATCCACGCGTATGTCGAATTTACACACGAGGGGAAGCCGCGTGTGGAATGACACACAAGTGGGTTCACTTTAAAGCAGAAATTTTTTATTGCAGTACAAGGCGAACACGGTGAATGATCATTTTCACTTTCAGTTTGTGTGGAAAATTTGCAGCCCAGATTCTCAGCCAATGTGTTACCAACTGTAGAATTTAATCGACGCCCACTTTAATTTTTTTTTGATCGCACGGTACTTTCTTCAAATCTGTTGCCAACTTAAACAGTCCTAAATGATCACGCTGTATTTGGAAACAGAGTCAAGTACTTTTATTGCTCTCACAGCGAGACCCTTACTATAAATGTATCGAGACCCAACACCGCTGGTCAAAATTTCGCACTGCATTGTATTGAGAAGAAAATTATTTAGGATACTTGTATGAGGTAGCAGGCCATTTAGGGTTTACCAGAAGGTGATGATAAAGTACTTAACTCTGTTTTCAAAAATATTTCTAAATCTGCTATACTTACCTATTCCATAATATCACTTTTATGCAAACAACGGTGTATCCAGAATGAATTCCAAACCTGGAGTCTACAAGAGCCCGGGAGCTTCAAGGGTTTGTTAAGTAAAGAAAGTTTAGTAAGTTTAAAAAGTGCTAGTTTTAAGGAATCTAAAACAGAATGTGGACAACCGACACTCTAGAGATCAATTTAGGTAAAATTGAAAAACCGTATTCACTGTATAATATATTCACTAAACTCCCAACATGTCAATATGACATTAAGTTAGTTACACAAAAAGTCACTATGGCTATGTTGGTGACAACTTCACTCAAAGTTTAACAACCTGGTCGCTATCACTTGATTTGAAATGATTTAATTATTATCATTGGTGCATGTGCCGTGTACGATGGAAACTTGACATCAAGTACAGTCAGATGAAATAATAGTCGTGTGTCGTTTGGGATACACTCAAAAATTTTGGTTTGACATTGTAAACGTCACGGGAGTTTTGTGAATACATAATACAGTGAATTTTTTTGAATTCACGAGAATTGTGTGGACGAAAGTCACTGTCCATCACTGTAAATTTAATATCAGTGTTATAAAATAAAAAGCTATTTTTGACATTTGACAATTAAACTTATTTTATTGTCATTAAAATTGCTAATTAAACAATTTGTCTGTCTTATCAAATTTATTAATTGAACTAAGTGTAATTAAATCATAGCTTTGATCTGCTGCCTACCGGTTATTATGCCACAAATCACTATTTTTGATAATAAATAAGTCAAAATGACATAATCATGACAAGAGTAAAAAATGAGGTTACTAATGTAAAGGTTGTTTTAGAGTTTAGATTATGAAAATGACAATACTGCCCGAAATTTTTATTCCGCAACTGTACATTGATAGTTAATGAAAAAAATGCAACTCTATATTTACCTATTTACCACAGAATGGTTTTGTGTTACGCCACTGGTACTACTTAAGTTTTCCGTATCTACGCATTGGCTCCGCCTCCCGATATCCTTCTACGATTTCCTAACCTCACCTTTTCCTTTTCCACCCAATAGAAAGAATTGAGGTTAGGTTTCCAGTCCTGTCAATGTCAGCTGTTTTTAGAGAATTCAAAAAATGTCTTTGTCCAAGTCCTTTCTGCAGCTTGTATCTGTTTCATCATTTGTCCAAGCTAGCTTTTGGAACAAATTATCGGACTTGAAAATAAATATTGACAAATTAAACGATGATGAACGGCAAATCTACGGTTTCTTCGCAAACAGCTCCTCAACATGGACCACACATGTTTTGGAAGTGGACAGCACATCATTTAATTCGTAATTGCTCAAATTTGCAGGTATTTTACCTAATTTGTGTTAATTTTTAGAATGCTGAATTCACAAAACAATAGCATTCCATTTCAAGGAAAAATATTTAATAAAAACACAATTGAACAGTTTAAAGATTGTGACAAAACTAAAATGATTAACGAGGAAGGAAGACGGTTTTTGGAAGATTTGAAAAGTGGGAAGGTTTTAGAGAAGCCTTATTTGCTGAATTTCTTTTTTATATTGTCATTTAGTGTAAGTAATTTCAGTAACAAACAATTACAAAATATTTTGTTGTTTTCAGGATCTTAAAAAATTTCATTTTTATTACTGGTTTGCATATCCAGTACCTCACAATTTGGAAATACCATTGGAAGCAATTACTCCAATTTTAGAACATTTTACAGAAGACGAAGTATATTTGAGGTTAATTGTGTAATGTATGTGAGATAAGCAATCGATTTACAGGTAGCATCTTTAAGTTTAGAATATCTGAAACTAGATCCTCACCAAAAGCCATACTTTTTAATTCACAATAAGGAAATCCACACTTACCACTCTAAATTGAATGAAATTAGTGAGAATAATTACCAGGAGTATTACTTTGCTTTTGCAGATTATATCAATAGTGGCCAACACCCAAAATCTCAAATTAAAAATTACATAATTTTTTTGTTACATTATTGGTTTGTCTCTTACACATTGTTAAAATGAATCATTAAATCACCACTATTCTAGCCCTTTCCTTGGAGGTAAAACTTTAAATTTTCTTTTATTCTTTTTGGACCGCAAATTATCTTGTTCTCAAAGTTTAATGTATAAATTAACTCTACCTTGTTGCAATTCAATCGAAGATATTATTTATGGTAGTGGTGATAACGCATGGGCTGGATGGGAAAAAAATGAGAAAAACAAATTTGCGCCACGATTTTCCAACATGAGAGCAACAATGGATCCTCAAGTGTATGAGCACACTATTTTTTTTTCAAATTTCTTGAATTTACTTCATACAGATTATTCGAAGAAAGTGTTGATTTAAATTTAAAACTGATGAAGTGGCGTCTTCTCCCGGAGATTAATCTAGATAAAATAAAGAACACAAAATGCCTTCTTCTAGGCGCTGGAACTTTAGGATGCTCAGTAGCAAGAAATCTTCTGGTATTAATATAATTTTCGTATTATAATCACAACTTTCCAATAAATTTCTTGCAGGGATGGGGTGTTAGGAATATCAATTTTGTTGATAATTCAACGGTTTCTTACTCAAATCCTGTTAGACAACATTTGTTTACTTATGAAGATGCTCTGAAGAGTAAACCAAAAGCTGAAGCTGCAGCCGAAAGTTTGCACAAGATATTTCCATCAATAGTACAATTTACATATTCCACTTGAAAAAAAAATAAAACTGTATCATTTTAGAATTCTCAAGGTCATCAATTTATGATTCCGATGCCAGGGCACAATGTTGGTGAAAGCACTGTTGACTCTGTGAAAAAAAACGTGAAAGATTTAGAAAAACTTATTCAAGAACACGATATTATTTTCCTTTTAACCGATTCCAGAGAGAGCCGTTGGTTGCCTACATTACTGGGCATATTCCATAATAAAATTGTAATAAATGTTGCTTTGGGCTTTGATACTTATCTAATCATGAGATACGGCCGCAAAGATATTAAAGTTGGTGTTCAAGAAATACAAAGTCAATCGACGTTTAAAAGAATCTCTGGAGCGGAACTCGGATGTTATTTTTGCAATGATGTTACTGCCCCAGGAAACGTAGGTTTTTTATTTTCATCATTGTTTCCATTTGTCTAATAATAAAAAAATCCTGGGATCTTAATATTTACATTCTTGAAAATAATTACTTGGGGAAAATGAAAGTTTGCTTTAATTTATCAAATAATTAGAAAAAAATATATTTTTTACAGTCTCTTAAAGACCGAACACTTGACCAACAATGCACCGTCACGAGGCCTGGAGTTTCATCAATAGCAGGAGCTTTAGCTGTGGAATTAGCAGTTTCAGTGATTCAACATGAAGAAGGCATTAATGCCCCTGCATTTTACAAAAGTGGTCCCCAGAGCGACATGAATTTTAGTGAAGACCAAGGGGGCGTTTTGGGAATATTACCTCACTCGATTAGAGGATTTTTGTCAAGTTTTATGCATGTTTTACCTGCTACACCAAAGTACAATCAGTGCGTTGCTTGCTCTAGTATTGTTTTAGAAGAGTATAAGGCCAAGGGGTTTGCTTTTCTTCTTGAGACATTCAACAGCAACAATTATCTGGAAACTCTAACTGGGCTTAGTGAATTATTTACTGATAGTAATTATGCTGATGTAGGTAATAGTAATATTGAAAAAAACAAAAAGTTAATTACTTCATTTTAGGTGTTGGAATTAAGTGATGAAGAATGGGAGAAGTAGATTTATAAACATGTTTTTGGGATACTGCCTTAAAGCCGCCTTTGCTTATGTTATTTAAGTATGAGCAAGCATTTTATGTACAAATATTACACAAATGGTTATGTATTTATTATATTAAGAAATAAATCTCAATTGTCGATAAAATTTGAATTTGAAATAGTGTGGGATTGAATGACACATGCGCACATGTGCTACGGAGCATTAATGAAAAAAGTTTCGATTTCAAATTCTTTCGAGAAGGGGATTTTACCACACACACAAATTACTCTCGGCTCGAAACTACTTTCTTGACTTGAAGCAATGATGCCATGCGAAATTTTGGACCAATGGGAGTAAAGCTCGTATCACACTATAGAATTTTCATATTTACAATTTTAGTGATATTTTTGCCTAAAATCGGATAATTTCGACTTTTAGTCCATCAGTTTTTTAAATGAATATTACTAAAAAGATGGTGGACACATTTAAAACAAAGCTAGTTCACCAATGGCTCATTTTTAGAACATTTTTAACGCGTGTAAGGGGGGCTATAGTACGCAAGTTTTCCACCAGGGGGTCTATGTAAATATTTGAGATTCCGATCATACCAGAATCGCAGGTTTGACCGAAATGTCAAATTCTTTGCACGGTTTTACTTGTTAGTGTATAATACAGTGTAAAAAAGGCATAATTAGTTTATTTGTAATAAAATAAGGATTGTTTTTAAACAGGCCACTTGATTTTCAAGGGGTAAGTTAAGTTTTAATTTTGCTTTTATTACACGTGATTAAAATTATTGATTTTCGGGGTGGAAAATTGTTTTTGGGTCTGTATGGTTTTGAATGGACGTTTTTCACTACTTTTTAAATTAAAGTGAATGCTTTTTATTCTTTATTTTTGTTGAAAATTGTTATTAATTATATTTGCGGTTTCGGCCGTTATTTTCACATAAATTTTAATGTAATTTTCATTTTATTTCTTTGCATCGAGATGAACTGTATTTGAGTTCCTTCAGCATATTTTTGTTGTCAACAATTATTGTTGAATGGAATTTGAAATATTTTTATTATTGAGGTCACTGTTTTCCCCAATTTTTTTCCACGATTGTTAACCGACTCACATTCCATTGAATATTTTCATCGCAATTAATCTCATTACTAAGTTTATAAATACATTTTAGTGCAGATAAATGCTTAATAAATGTGAAAAAATCGCGAGATAAATACGTTACATCACAAATCCTCTTTAAATAAATAAAATTCCACGATAGGCAGTCCCACCCTGTCGCATATTTCTCTAAATAAACAACGAAAATACTTTTCTTGTATGAATTTATCGACTAATGTTAGAAAATTGTAGTTCGTTGCAGCTTACAACAACGCGCATTATTCCCTTTGTCGGAATTCCTTCGAACATCTGCCCACCATGTGCGCCACGATCTTATAGGAGGAACAAACCAAACGCACCCTTCGTGTACTAAAGGCTGTTTTGCATCGTTTTACAGAGGACATGGAGGGCGGCGAGTCTCCCCTGGAAGTGCTCTCAAGGGCCGCCACCATGGTGCAAGAGAACCAGAATGCCCTGGCTTCCACAGGTATGTGACAGGTGGTCGAATTCCGCCAATTAGTTTTAATTCTTCATTGTCAGTGGCACGGTTTGTTGATTGTTCATAGAGTGTGGATATTAAAATTGGCGCGGTCAGTAAAGCGTGCATTTTAAATTATCAAGTCGCGTTCCACTCTTTACTCAAAACGGTATTGATATCGTCCGTCTTTAAAATAAATATTTTGTTTTTGAACGAATTTTATTGTCATTTTAGAGCAGAGCCCAATAAAATAATTCGCTCTTCAGCACATCGAATGGAGTGCTGCCAACAGGATTCGGCTCATTGTGCATAGTTTCTTAATTACGTATGCACAGGGTGATCCAATGAAAGTTGGCACATCCAGCACTGTGCTATATCGAATATTGCATTCCAATGATGCTTGCACGTTGTCGGAATATTTTTCCTGGTCATCAAAAGTGCACCAGAACGGCGAGTTTCATCTCAAAATTGCTGAAACTTTCAATGCTGATGCCTGGAATGCGATACGTTCACTTCAAGATAACTCAGAAAAAGTTTGATCAGAATTGCGTGTGTCATTATTTTGGCAAAGAAAGCAATAGTGAATCTTAGGAATTTGTTGAGCGTGGAAAAAGTTTCCTTTGGCATTAGATCATTTAAGTTTAGTAGGTTCGTAAAACATCAAAACAAGGTAGCGGAAAACATGCTTTTCCTTTTCGTCGTTCAAGTAAACAACTGAAATGATTAGATATTTCCTTTGTTTGCGAACTTTGATTAAAAAATAAATAACGTGGAGCTAACTGTCTGTTTAATTTTGATAAGGGTTAGCTACAAAATCATTTAGGAAAGGGAGAAATCTTAGTAATAAAAAAAATATTTATTTTTAGTTGTTACTCGAGCGTCTAAAAAACTCCTCTTTAGATGAATAAGTGCATTCACATGCGTCGAAAAAAATATTTATAAATAAATGCTTTGTCATAAAATGGAACAAAAACAATTCAGAAAAAATTACACCGGAATTATACCGCTGAAGTACATATATCCCAAAATTTATAATGACACATTTTCTGCTTGGATGAACAGATGTGAAAAACTTTTTTTACCACCTTTCAAAAAAAAAAGGTTGTACATGATTTTGTACTTATACCTTGTTGTAAGTAGGTGGTTTTGTAAAATGTTTACCTTCAATTCAAATGTTACAAACTTAGTTTTTTGTTTATTTCTGGTAGTATACATATGCGATCACTCGTGTTTGAGTTTGTCAAGGTAACTTTTTGTGTGTTGTGTGTATCGTTTGTATGTATAATTATTTATTTCTTTACTGTAGATAGCATTTATAGTATAGGTTATCTATTGCTATCAATTCCTGCAACGCTTATTCTAATATTAAAAGCTATAAAATATTTGTTTGCCAAACACTTATCATTTTTATATCTTTTAATTTATCTCTAATCCAAGGCTTGAAATTTGAATTTTTTTACTTTGGTATAAGAAGAAAACTTCAGTGGAAAACTATACTTATTGCTTTATTGTTACATAAAATAAATTACATAACAAAGTTTTCATCACTATATTTAAATAAAAAATTCTAGGACAGACCTTAAAAAACGTATGTCCTCGTTAACTTCATGTAATACGTGGTGTTAAGTTTGTTTCTAAGCCTACTCAATACTTAGCAAGGTACTGAAAATAGTCGTGTCACCAAAACGTCAAATCGTAGTTACTCAATTTTAGTCTTGTCTATAAACCATTTGAGTATAGGTAAATAGAATGTTCGGAAACGAAGTGGTGTAATCGACCGTTTATTACTATTAGATATAAGTAGTGTGCCAATACAGCGTGATTTTATTAAGTTAGTTCCTCAATTTACATTTTTAGATCTGATTAGTACAATTATTATACACTGGTGGACACGGAATTTTGGACGATTTGTCATTCGACTATCATAAAAATGTTAAACGGGCCTTAGGCAACTAACCTCACTTTCTGTTTTTGCAATTTTTATCCTGATAGCTAGAGAAAAATTGACAACAAATCAAAATAGTTTATTGAACTTATATTAAAACACGTATTGCTGGCATTATTGTTTCGGAAAATCGACGCCAAAAATAAATTTCAACTAAAACTTTCAAATTTTAGTTTCAAATGTCAATCATAATGACAATAAATAAGCGTGATATACATTGACATTTTTTGAACTGACATAAATTTGATGTCCAAAATTCTGTGTCCGTCAGTGTATCACAGGGACCGGATTGCTATGGGGCAATGAAACCATATTAAGTTCAGAATTCTAATTGTCTAATTTGAAACGTTTTTTTTTATATAAAAAACTGACATTGGCGAAGTTTTTAAACAAAATTTTGCAATGAATTGCATTAGAAGAAATATTTTGCTAATCTTAATTGCTGTGGGTTTCCGTAAATGTTAAATCTTGCTGAAGTTTCAGAACTTCTTTTTGTGAGTTTGTAGATACATTCTTGAAAGATTGTAAAACAATTTTATTAGGCAAAATTTGTTTCTAAACTATATAGGCGCGCCAGAACTCGCGTCCCAGAGGAAAATGTCATGTAGGGTAAGATACCAGAAACATGGAAAAAATGTTAAAAAAAATTCTATCTATCAAAATTTCGAAGTTTAAAAAAAAAAATTTCGAGAGTTTGCACTTTGACTCTATTTATTTCTGTTGAAAAAATAATTTTCTAAGTTTTTTTGCTATAGGCTATTAGAAGAGGAAACAATAATAATTATAAGGAACCTAAATACAATAAAGGGCGCGGATATTTATATTTAATTATATTTATAAATAATTTGTATTCAAAATAAAGTTGAACAAAAACACGATTAGCCCGTCACACCAAACTTTTATTTTAATAGCACAACGCGTTTCGACCACAAAGTGGTCATCCTCAGGTGAGAATAAAACAAAATAAAGCAAAAACAAATACAATAAATGTTCAAAATGACGACTCCCAACTTTATGTAAATTATGCAAATTTATGCAACAAAGTTGGGGGTTATTATATTTTTGTTTGTCTTATTCTGATTACAAATTATTTAAATATTGACGTCAATTAATGTAAACCAGACAGCATTACGTTTTTGGACAAAATTGACTCCAGAGGCCAAACGGCTCATTTTTGACTAGGAAATTTTATACCGCATTAACCTCTATAACCTTTTAACTTTTGGCAACATTTTTTCGAAACGCTCTGTGCATATTTTAGTACATACAAAGTGCGCCAGAAATCGCGCCCCAGAGAAAAATGCCATGTAATATAAGATACCAGGAACATGGAAAAAATGTTTAAAAAAATTCTGTCTATAAAAATTTTATAAGTTATGAGTGCTTAAATTTTGCACTTTAACTCTATTTATTTCTGTTAGAAAAATAATTTTCTAAGTTTATTTGCTACAGGCTATTAGAAGAGGAAACAAGGAAGCTAAATTGTAACTCTGTTTAATGTTATTTGTGGCTTTTATTATTAAAATTTTTGTACCTTTACTACATAAATATTAAAAAAACATATACAAGATCATAAGTATCATTAAATAGACATAAAAAAATGTCAAATGACAAAAAATAAATGTCAAAATTTTTTGACATATAACTTTTTTATATGTTCTTGGTATCTTATCTTACTTGAAATTTTTCTCTAGCGCGCAAGTTCTGACACACCCTGTATCGATATTGCTAGGTTCCACTTTTTTCAAATCAGCGATTCTAGAATTTTTACAAATATACCTAATCATATTTAAATTTTAAATCTTTCAGTTTTTAGTACAGTTTACACTTCTAATACAATTATACATATGTATTCATAGCACATAGCTTAGCCCTTCAAGTTTTTTTACTATACATGTGTCACGTTTGAGTCATTTTAAAAACCAGTTTTGTGGTTTGGATAAAAAATAATAAATGAAAATATCATACCGCTGAAATCGTAAAAATGCTCTTTTTAATAAAGTCGATTTGATCCCCATTGCTATTAAACAAAATAGAGGTTGTATGTTAAAAACAAATGACAATGCACAATAGATAGTATGTACCACCGCCTGGGCATTTCATAAAAAATGCATTGGAGCAGTAATTCCGCATTTTTTCTTAGTTACGAGGGTTACTAAGGAAAAACTGAATAATTTTTAATTATAAACGAAAAATAACGCAATTAATTAAAGCTGGAAAGGAAGAATACAACAAAACAAGATACGCCAGAATTGATATTATGACTATTACTTATGAGATTAAACCCTTTAAGCTAAAAAACTGAATGTCAAGAAATTTCCCCAGATTAAAACGCCAACGGGAATCAGTTGAACTCAAAAAACGCCCAGGCGAGAAAAGAATTATTTCTATCGAGACGACGATGGTATGTACAAACGAGTACAGTTGATAGATTTTAAAACTGTACCTATATACGAGAGCAAAGTTTCAAAATAATTTTGAAACTTTTTATACTTTTAGGTTACTTGATTGAGTTGACAGAATTAAAAGCATTTTCTCTTGCGGATGTTTGCAACTATGCATCCGAAAATGGTTTCGCTTAACAGATATCTGAAATAAAAAAATGTGAATTTTTAGTTGCACCCTGTAAAAATTAAATTCAGTATTGCCATTCATTCCTGATTAATGATGATTATTCTCACATTTTATCTCCCTGGTGAGTTTAAAGTCTCAAACCAACTTGAGGTAGGTACACTTTATCGAGTGAACGCAATGTATCGAACTTTCCTATATTTTACTGGAATCTGGTCCAATCAAGTTTTTAGGCTGGATAAAGAAAATAATTTATTTTGTGATTAAAAGACAATTGAGTAGATGTTATTGTTAGGTATAAGAACTAGAAAAACTTTATTTGGCAATTTAGAAAAATATAGGCCATTACTTGAAAAACAGAGGATTAATTATAATTTGTAACTAACTAAAATAAGCCATATTGATCAGCATTATTAGTAATTGTTTTAAAAAAAAACTATAGTTTAGTGTATTATTTCAAACCTCTAAATATACAGGGTGCGCCAGAACTCGCGCCTCAGAGAAAAATTTCAAGTACGATAAGATACCACGAACATGGAAAAAATATTTTATCTATAAAAATTTCGAAGTTATGAGAGTTTAAACTTTGCACTTTGACTCTATTTATTTCTGTTGGAAAAATAATTTTCCAATTTTTTTTTTTGCAACAGGCTATTATAAGAGGAAACAAGGAAGCTCTATCTTAAATTGTAACTCTGTTCAATGTTATTTGTCGCTTTTATTGGCAAAATTTTGATACTTTTACTAAGTGATTGTAAAAAAAACATACATATACAAGATCATCAGTATCATTAAATAGACAAAAAAAATGTCGAATGTCAAAAAATAATTAACAAAATTTTTTGACAAATAGAATTTTTTAAACATTTTTTCCATGTTCCTAGTATCTTATCTTACTTGAAATTTTTCTCTGGGGTGCGAGTTCTGGCGCACTCTATATACTAATGTCGTGGCTGAAGGTATCTTTATGAATATTTTGTCTACAACAAAATAGATATAAATGAAAGTAAAAATAAATAATATTTAAATAATAAATAAATAACATTTATTAGTCTGTTTTTTTTTTGATGACAATAGAATTAATAACGAGATCAAAACAAATTACTTATTAAAGTTAAGTTCGTAGTTATTTAGTTTGTAGTTAAAGATTAGCATCATCAATTTTTCGAAAAATATGTCTTCATATTGCTTCTTATTAGCATCACGTTACTCCACTTTATCGGTCGCAGTCCACAGAAGTTTGATTTTCCCATAATAATGCATCACGTTTCAGTGATCAGTGTATTTTATAAGCGGTTTTTGCACAGTGTCTTATTATAAATAATAAAAGCAAGTTTGTTTTCGATCACCATCCACAAGAATCATGCAAACGAACCTGCAGGCAAAATATACGGGCATCCAAGTATGCAATAAAATTATCTGAACAACATTTTGCGTTGCTGAGATCTTGGGTAGGTATTTGCTGCATTTTTGTAATTCGCACATTCTACCACCCTCGCTGGCCATAAGTCGAAGACCGGTCGTACCGCCATGACTCTAAGCGCATTCCAATCAATCTCTTAATTACGTCCTCCAAGCCGATTTACCGAAATGATTCACTAGACGTCTTGTTATTATTTATCGTCTACGAAAACTCGATGGAATTCGACAAATGAATCGTTTAGTGGCTTCCTACGTAAGGTCGATATTCGAGCATCAACGCTAACGTCACGATGGTGTGAAGCAAGAATTTCGAGCAACGTGGTATGCGGTCCGGTTGCTGTTTCAAAGATAAGAAAACCAGGAATATCCAACGAGATCACGACCATAATGATGTGGAACAAAAGCGTCTTGCTTCATAAGGAAAAAAATCAAAAGTATAATGACATTAATGACCAGCTGTCGAAGGACCGGATTATCCTATTCCGATGGAAGAATGTCGTAGTCGCCCGCAACGAAAATGCTCGGAATTTTTCTAAAACGATGGTGGGAGATTAATTTATAGAAGAATTTTTATGGTCGATGATTGTCACGAAAATGCTGTTGTTTTTTTCAAGAATGATGCGATTCGCGTGTGGCGATTTTTACGTCACGAACACGAGATTGAATTGTTTTTACATGCGTAATTCTCTATTGTCACAATTCATAATTAACTGTTTGTCAAAAGAAAAGAATGCGACCAATTTTAAATATTGATTTATTCAGTTTTGACATTATTTACCGTATAAGTGTGCTCATCGCTATTCTTGATTGTTGGTTAATGGATGCATTGTTTCACTTTCCTTATACTGAGTAATTTTAAAGTTTGTGCAAATATTTTAACAGGTGATAGTAGAGCTCAAAAGAAGTCAAAATAACTAAACTTGCCTTATCTGAATGTTTATAGTTTCTGAGATACAGGGTGTTTGAGGATTTCGAGCAAATATTTAAGCTACTAATAGGACTCGTCAAAAGAAACAACTTTCGTTATTCCAACTTTTGTCGAAAGCACGTCATTTCTAAGTTAAAATTAAAAATAAATTGAGGCTGAAAACCCGTCCCCGCCTATGGCCGAATACGATGTTTACAATCATTCATAAGAAAAATTTTTGGAACGTAAACAGCGTAAAGACAAAAAAATTATCGCTACATTAGGGTAGATCAGTGTCAATGTTAGTGGGTCAATACTTGCTATTATAAAGAATTGCTCGAAATGTGGTCATTCGTTGGCAATGCACACTTCTTGTACTCTTCGGGCTACAGAAGCTTGCGTTCGCACACACAGCCCTTCGAAGGTATAAATTTGAGCTGCGTACACTAATTGTTTCGTGTGAACCCCCAAAAAAACAACGTATTTAAATCTGGTGACCGCGGTGGTCATTGGCGACCAAACCATCTAGGGGAAATGATTGTTGACGACTTTGGCATAATTTGATATGGAGCTCCACTTGTAAATACCGCATGTCCTCCAACAGATCGGACAACACATTTTCCAAAAAATCCAGATAAACGGCACTAGTTAAACATTGAGGTAATATGTGTGGTCCATTTTGGTGATCTTCAATGATCTCTGCCCAAACATTTAGTGAAAATCGGTCTTGGAAGTGATGTCCGTACACTAGTTAATTTGACGTTTGAGTAGTTGGCCATAATGACTTGATTGACAATTTGATTTCAAATCGATGTGCACAATTCACCCGAAAGCGCATTTACGACTAACTAAACTAACACGTGTAAACAAGTGATAATTTTTTTGGATAAAAAGTTTCCTTTTTTCTGTATAAAAACTTTCACGGTCAACATTCAATGCTATTTATTTTCATTGATATTGAAATTGATAGGGAAATTGCAAAAATAAAATTTGGATACGGAATTTGTTTGGTCTTCAATTCGACATTTCATAACAAATTCTCTTAGTAGTTAAAATATTTGCTCGCAATCCACAAACACCCTGTATATAGAGGGTGCAACCTCCATTTTGGGAAAATTTGTCAAAAAAATGCAATATAAACGAAGTTTGCAGCTTTTGAGTACTTTATCCCAAAGTTTACATTACTAGTAATCGGTAACATTTTCAATGAAATTTGGTGGTATCTTCAACAAGAATTTTTTCAGTTTTATTACCCGCAAGTGGAAATTGTTTTTTTTTTTTTTTTCATTTTGACTGATAAAAAATTTAGACCCGGTATACAAGTATACAAGAACATTTTTTTCAAATGTTAAAAATGCGTTCGAAAAATATAAAATAGGGGTTTCTGTATTGTTAAATTCTGGCTCAAAAAACTGCAAATGTATTTTTAAAAATGAGAATATCAAATAATATAAATCAAAAAACAATTAAATAAAGAACCATATTAGACTGCATCTGCAGGCTCACTCTATTCGCAATTGTGCTTAAGGTTAAGTAATGATTTAGACGTAAGGTTTAATGTTATTAAAGTGCTCAAAATTTATTTGGTGGAAAGATACTTTTTTAGGTACCTTCTTTATACTCTTAATATAATGATTTTTTAAATAATAAGAAAGTACAGCTCTTCTACATTGTAACCATTTGCGGTATTCTCGTAATAAAAGCTACACCACTAAAATAGTTAATTGTGTTTAACTCCAGTATCTAATTGCAATCTTGTAAAGATGACACCTTCGCGGCCATTTACCTGTTGCTCATATTTACATGCGATGCAAATTGCTGGCAAATTTAGATGTGATTCGGCCTGAGTTAGCTCATTTTTTACCATTTTGTTCTTTTTGTTTAATCTTCGGTCTCTGTAACTCTTTTTCGCTCGAAACCAAACTGGAACAATTCCGCATTTTGTGCAACAATCTTAAGCAAAACCGAGATGTAGTCAGCACGATTGCGATCGAATCAATTCTGAGATAATGAGATCATTTTTGCATCATTCCTTTCCGTGAAATCAAAGCAATGAGAGCGGCTTCTGTGCGACAATAGCGTCATAAAAATACGCTCTTTGTGCGGGGCTTTTGAAAGACGGTGACCGCAGTCTAATAACCGACCTTGCTGTATTTACTACTTCATTAAAAGTTGGTCGGAGGTACAAAAATTCACTACGTCCGTTCTTTGCTGTTCGTGTTTTACACTTGGACGAAGGTGGACGAGGACGTGGTCGAAGATTAATCGAGCGCGAAGTAGATTCTGGTGGTACCACATAAAACAAAAAACATCGAACCGGTCAAAAAGAACGTCGGAGGAAAAACGACCTTATAGTATCGGTAGTAGAGTCGCTCTGTTCTGGATGATTAAAAAAACTAATTACGTATACCTGAAAGTCTCTACCTGCGAGATTCTTATGAATGAAGGCAAGTTTACTATTCCTCGGGCTGTCGCACAATGGCTTTCGGTGTGTGTGTACAATGGGATGTGTGAATTGAGTGTTGAGTGACTTTTGACGCCTAGTTTTTTTCCCTTTTTCTGACGGAATAAAATGGAATTTTCGGTTTTCGTTCGCGAATTATTAAAAGCCTCCCAAACGATGAAACACCAGCAAGTCCCCAAACGCGTCTTTTGGCAACCATGGCTAGACGAAGGTAATTCATGATCACGTCGTTCCGTCAAAGAAACGTTTGATTACCGGATGTAGTCTATCTTCTCTCGGCCTTGGTATAGGTCGCAGCGGGTCGTTCATATTAACAACCTAATTGAAATTTTCTTTTTTATTTGTTTAGAGGAATCGTCGAAGCAGTCGAGCAACAAGCAACTTCCGACCACCAAATGGAAAAGGGATCGACGGTCGAGGCTTCCTGAGTACTCTCGGAAGTCCGATCCGAAAATCGCCGAGACGTTCGGAACGGAACCGCCAAGTCCGGCACCGGAAACGCCGAATCAACAGGCCGCGAACGGTCAGGATAATGCACCTCTCGATATGAGTGTTAGACAAAGAGGGTTGCCGCCTTCCTACTCGCAAACTATTAATAATCCGGGATATAGATCTAACTACAGGCCGAGTGTTATACAGAACAATAGAGAAGATCTTCCTCCTGGTTAGTATTATATTGTAAGGAAGTTGATAAGCAGTTGCATATTTGGTGTCCACCACATCCGGTGGAAAATAGATCAAGTTGGATTTGGGTGCTATTTGCGTTGTGGCAAAGTTCAAAATTTACACATTAATACACAATAAGAGTCAGGGTATTGTTCTGAAAAGAATTGAGGGAAATAGCTGCTAGAATTTATATTCTTCCATAGCGTCACAGTTTATTTAAATTGCCCGAATTTATTGGAAAGTTTTGTTTTTCGAACGATTGCTTTGTTTATTGAAGAAAATTATGTATGACATGTCATTATACGAATTTTTGTTTAAACTAAGTACTTAAAAAAAATATTAAAACTTACTCATCTAATTCTTTTGTAAATTGCCTTTTTAATTAAGAAATCACTGGAGAAACTCATAAAATTACACATCAACTAATTTTAACAATAATTCCACCGGTCAGCATAATATGAGTTGTTTAAATATTTTTGATAAATCTGAATGGCATCGTAAGTCTTGAACATCCAAGCATCATTCTTTTGTTTCCACTTCGACAAATCTGTTTTATTCATTCAGTTCTCAGTTTCTCGCAACAAGGTTGGATTTATTGAAAATATCTTTAATTGTATCAAAAATGTCAATTAGATCGCATAAAACGGGCACCAATTTGTTTTGTTGTGGAACGTTTTGCTAGGAAAAAACAATTACCTAGAAAATATTTTATTTTATTTTATGTATTTGTTTTTTATTCTACGTGATAGAATTCAACCATAAGCAGAACTGTAACCTATATTTCCTATATTTTTCATAGCACGACAAAACATTCAAACAAATTTTCAAATTGCATAGCGATGTTACTAATGTAAACTGTATCATAGCCATCGCCACCCTGTCAACGCCGCAACTGTATTTTGTGAGGTGGAATAGGTCAGAAACATTTGATTACTGGCTAAAAGAGAAATCTGTGTTACAACTGAACCCTACTGACAAATTTTGAGCCAAGAATCTACACTTTTTCATACAGAAAAAACATTGTGAAAAATGACGGCAGTGGCGATGGTTGTAGCACGACATATACAGGATGTTCCGTTTTTATTGTTACAAATTTAAACAAGAGATAGAATATTCAATTTTATGACAAAAGTTTTCTGTGAACATGTATCTAAAAATGCTACGGAAGGGAGCTACACCTTCTCAAAGCGGTGCGTCTTTTAATGGGTTTTTTCTAATTATATTTCCGAAACCATTTTACATAAAATTACAAAATTTGGTACAGATGATAACCTTTATACACTTAAACGAATTTCCTAAACTGGGGGGTGGGTTTGGCTGTAGTTTCTTGCCACTTTCAGCAACAAAATGCTAAATTTCATAGTTTTTTCCGATACATTTTAAGTAAAATCTGTTTTAGAATTTATGTTACAGGCCTTACACAGCATAAAAATTAAAAATTAAATTCGCTTTACCGTTTAGGACGCCCCTGATTAAAAATTTCTACATTTCATCTTGGAATTCGTTTAGGTGTATAAAGGTTATCAAATTTTGTAGTTTTACCTATTCTGAAATATTGGGAAAAATCCTTTAAAAAACACACCCCTTTTAGGGACTGTACAATCGTAAAATATCAAAACTTATATATACTTAATAATTTACAAAAATAGGTATTATTATTAGGTATATTATTGAGGTATTACAGGTACAGGTTGCAATAAGAACGGAAAATTGAATTTTCTTTAAAATGTAACAGGTTTTGCCCTTGTCAATTTAGTTGTCAATTTGTTATCTGTTGCATTAAAATATTTTTTACTGCAATGCCACACTTAAATGCCGAGAGCATCAAATGCAAATCAAGATAATCAATTAGTTCATAGTTGTGTACTTACATGAAAACCCAATGAGTAGTGAGTACCTGCTACATATTAGCTGTCAGTTGTAACTTAAACTTTTAGAATTAAGGCATCATCAAACTTTGGATAAATATAAAAATCTGACATATTTATGCTTTGACTTTTTCCGATGTTTTTGCAACCAAGTGTACATATACTGTTTTGTTTAGAAAACTTGTTTTAATTTTTTAAGCTGACACAACGACTCTTGAATAACATAAAATTTTAAACAAATGACTATGTGTTATATTAACCCTTATTTCGTTTTCCAGGAATATCGATGTGCGATCCAATCATTGATGAGCATTTCCGTCGTTCTCTGGGCAACGACTATCTCTCTCTCTTTTCAAACAACAATGTTTCCAAGGAAAGTATTCCTGTAAAACCTCCCCCAAAAGTTCCCACCACAACGAACGTGATTGAATTAATGGACACTGCAGGTTTATCTGTGGACGATCACTTCGCCAAAGCTTTAGGTGACACATGGGTGAAACTAAACAAAAAAGAACAAGAATTGAAAAACAATACCGGTGACAATCACAGTATAGTAACGATTTAATAAAGATGAACTGATAGTTGCTTGTATGTGTGTTTAACGTTTAAATGTATGATGTTAAATGTAAGTTTATCGAAATAACGTACAAATGTATCTTAGGCTTAGATAGGTTTTACCGAAGGTCGCGAGATGGCATTACGCATATTGAGGTTTGTTTCGGTTTTCATTCAGGGATCGAATGACTTGTTTTCTTATTTTAATGTGTAGTTTTTTATTGAGAGCACAACCTGACAAAGGCTGCCTTCCAATTAACCAGTTAATGATTCCTTATGTTCCACTGTTGTAAATATTGGACTGTCTTGTATATAGGTTTCTGTAAATACAAAAATGTTATTGATTAGTTTAGCACTACATATTTATAATTAATTTAGTCCACTCTTGTTGCTTAGTTCTAAACTCCATGATGTTACTTTGGTATACGTAATTAAAATGACAAATCTATACAATTTTTACTTACCAGTCCCAGTTTCCAGCACTCAATTCGGCACTTCGAAAATGACTTTAAATAACTCAGTTGTGTTTCGCTGGTATTTGGTACAAGAACTGATTTCATATGGTGCTAGAATACTAATGCAATCTCACCACCACACGAAAACAGTGCCCAAAACCAAATCCTACAATCTTCTACTACAAATCTGTTCTCACCACCTTGGAATCGGACTTAAGTATGAATCTGTTGTCACACTGCTTTCTTAAACACAAAATAGATATTCACTTACAACCGGTAACGAAAATTTAAACCTTATGAAGTTTTGATAGCAAGGATGACGAGAACTCTGTAAATGGTTCAAGACAAGACCACTCTATATTTCCTTCCATGTTTTTTCTCCTTTATTTCCGTATTAAATTTCTACGGGATATCAGATTTGCGGTGTCGTGATTTTTGTCTATAAAGCGGTATCATTTTTACAATGGTACCAACTCGAAGATGGGTACCAACCGCTTAGCGATGATGGTGGTACCAAATTTGTCCCAATTCGACAATGGTGTAATTTGAGTGATTCGCATAGTACTTGGAGCTTGTAACTCAATCAGCTGGTAACGGATCGAGTTTTCTAGCGGAAGAAAAATACCATTTCCCGTGGAACTGCATAACTAAGTACTTCAGATTTTCTAAAAAAAAAAATATGAAAGAATTTTAATCAATTAAGCGCGAGATAGAGTAGCTACAAACAAACTTATTTGAAATTGTGCGTCGATGCGGCCGCAAACTCGATTCTTAAGGAACACCACAATACTTACAATTTTTCAAAAACTTGAAAAATTAACACTTTTCACACGCGCGAAATTTGATTGATCGCGTCTTAATTCTTATGACTCACAATCTCAACTGATTTCATCGGCACTGGATGGCCGTTGTTGCATCAATGGGAATTACATCACCCCATGTTGAATTTAAAAGACACCCTCTAAACGCGCTGCGACCGTACCCAGCGACGATTTGTTTGACTTACCGGTTTACAATGTTTAGGGGATCTCATTGTGTATTTTTTACTGAAGGGTATAACAAAGGAAAGAAGTTTTGAGTGGGAAGAATTGGCAAATTTGGATGTTTTGATCAGGCTGTTTGGGTCTATGAATGAAATAAAAGCAAAAATTCTATTTAATAATGAAATTGAAATGGAAATTGGATTTAGAGGTCACATTCAGCACTACATTGTAATTTAGAAAATTAGAATAGATGCGACCGTTAGCGAAATGAACCAACCCATCCACAAATGTTGGGGTTCTGTGCAGGTAAAAGGTACTCGAATTGGTGGTTGCCTGAACTTGGCGCATAAATTGTAATTAATAGTAATATTATTATTCCGTGCAATTTACTTTACAAACAATACATACAAAGAAAAAATGCAGTAGCAACAGAATGTAAAATATTTGTAGCTAATGGACTTATATAAATAAATTCTCATAAAATTTGTTATCAAAGTTTAAAATATTGTACAGGGGGGGTGCATTTTAGATGTATACATCAGTAGGTATGTCCCCGAATTGAGAAAGAGAAAAATGAACTTTTCTTTCTAGTGAGTTAGGATAATGAAGTTTTAACTACAGATATGCTCCTTTCAGGTAAAGCAAATAATATTTTTCCTTTGCACTGTTGGCGTAAAATCGAATTTTTTTTTTCTCTTCTAAACCAAATCCGGGGACATACTATACAAGGTGATTCTTTTAGGGCCTAAATTAGAAATTTTTTAACATCTAATGCAGATAGCAATTTGAAATTTTGTACACAACCCAAATAGACCAGTCTGAGTTGAGATAAATTATTTCCAAAATGGCTGAACTTTCGGAACTACGAGATTAACTACATGATTAACTATAAAAATAAACAACAAAAACATGTTTTTCGTGATTATTTCAAAAACTGTAAGAGATAGGTATGGGACATGTTGATAAAAATCCTTCTGCGAATTGATGTACTTTTGACTGCCGTTGAGAAAATAGAGTCATTTCATTTGAAAAAACTGACTTATAGCTGTTTGTTAATGATCATTTTCAAAAAATCATACTAGCCTTGCAATTTGACAGATGACAATTTAAAAATTCTAGAAAACTCTTCGATCCTTTGGTTATCGAATGCAAAAAAATTATTTACTTATCGCAAATGGTTCAACAGCTGTGATGTTTTAAATGAATTACTGCAAATGAAAATTTTGACAAAAAAATTGACATGTCAAAAACTAGTATATAAAAACAGAAAAGATCTAACCTTCCTTTTTCATATACCCAAATACAATCTCAAAATAATTAAAAATGGTAGAGTTATCGATTTTTGAAAAGAAATTTGCAAAGTAAAAAAATTTCAAAAAAGTTTGAATATTTGAAAAACGGTTAAGTTTAGGTATAGGGATGAAGTCTGATAAAAACTCTCGCAAAATCACTTGAGTAATCCAAAAACGCAATAAGAAACATAACTTTCTATTGAAAATAATATAATAATAAAAGTTGATACCCATTTTCGGTGTAACCGAAAATACTTCTAATGTGGGGTTTAGCCGGAACAGCTTGTAGAGTGGTACGATACAATAAGTAAGGTTTCATCATGAAAAATACTAAAAAGGAGAATAAAACCCTATTTTGTTATCTTTATTGTTTTTATTTATCTTTTTGGTAGTGTAAGAAATTAGACTTTTCTTTATATAGGTACCCATCGTGGGACTTGTTGCGTTGAAAGAGAATTTTAAATAAATCCGACAACACGATATAATTGTTTATTATATCAATAATAATAACCAATTTATTATTTTAGAAAGTGTTCTAGGAAATCCGTTCGATTTTGACTAATTTAGAAAATTGTATACTTGTTTGTTTTTAATTGTAACTTTTGACAATTTCTGAATAAGCCCCTTGATAATGACTCATTGAATGGGTTAAAACCTAAAAAAATGAACAGTTACACCGTGTGGTCAGATTTACTTATTTAAAATTCTGTTTCAAAATTAGATGGGCCATTTGAAAGTTTCTTTTTGAAGTGCCTGTTATTTTCACATTTTCACGCGTTTGACATATTGACAGGTATATAGTGTCAAACCTCCGGTTTAAGAAAAAAATATTTTTGGTCAAAATGCGATATGACGCCGTTGGATTTATTTTTTATGGAAAATTGTTAAAGACCGTTGTACTCCAACGATCCACAACCCATTGACGCACAAAAACATCCATCGTGTAATAGTGTATTGCAAAATTGGGTTAAGAGAATGGGCTACTGCCAAGCTAGCCGCGGCAGCCAGGTGTACTCTCTTAAACAAAGCAACAATCATTCAAAAATACTCAACAGGGTAGTTTTAATAACAATAATAATTAATAACAAAAACAAGGAACCAACATATGGCCTACCCTAGATTTATGTTTGTGTATTTACATTTGCAATTTTCCTTATTACTCATGTTTAACGACATTTTAATCAAAATAAATAATTAAAATTACTATGATTAGCGTTAATTGCTTCTGATACCAACAACAAAGATAAAAAAATACATTTATTTAAATAGTTCAACGGAGAATTTATAGTTGGTACCAACAATATTTGAGACTCATTATAGAATAAGACGATTACCCCCTACGGTGGTTCATGGGGCTTGCGGTAGAGATGCCATAAACAAATTTGCATTTCTTAGGACAGGCACGCTTCAAAGGTTTGTAGGAAGAAATGGTCCGTAACAGAAATTTGTTTTTGGGCTTTCATCAAAAAAAAAATAATAATAATTTTAATATTCAACTATATTTTGGGATTGTTTCTTTACAAATCTGCATTATCACTTTAATATTAAATTAATATACAGGGTGCGCCAGAACTCGCGCCCCAGAGAAAAATGTCAAATGCCGGGGGCAATAGGTCGCCAAAAAGTGCAGCCGAAGAAGTAATTTTTGCTTGGATAAGAAAGTTATTCGACTCTTAAATCCACCAATCCCAGAAGGGCACCTCAGGGTGTGATTAACAAATTATATCCGTTGCTAGGTTACGAAAATAATACCAATTTGCCCAGAATTTTAAAAAATAGCTGGTCTAYTGTAATTTTGCGTTTGACATTTATTAATTTGTGGGTGACATTACCTGTTAGTTTCCAGTATTTTTCTCGCTGAAGAGGTTGTACACGAGTATAATGAGACAGAATCGTTAATTATTATCAACAATTATCAAAAATTATTTTGAAACATTCTGGAAATTCCTGATGAACCGACTTCTTCACAGGTATTGTTCCTTCTCAACTTTTTCTTCGATCTGATACAGATTAACAAACCGATAAATGAATTTTAGAGCTTGAAAACTAGTGCGTTATCTTTGTGAAACAAAGAAGCAAGTGAGAGTGAGACCAGAAAAACATGAAGAACTACGCAAGTTTCTTTATCTACTTTAAAGCAAAATTAACAGAAAGATGTACTTTTTATAAGAAATTGTGTTTAAATAAAACAGGTTATTAATTTTAATACTAAAATTGTAGTTTTACTCTCGTATTTAGGCATTTTTGCCCGATAGAGAAATTCTAACCTCAAAATTTTGCAAATTACAATTTATTGTTGTTTTCTTCCACTCACATGAGCTTACTATAACCCCTTGGCTGCTTTTTCATTAAAAAATCCAGAAGAATATTGCGATGTTTGTATTTAGTACGAAAAATTAGCATTTTTGCTGCCGGAAAGTAAAATCCAAATGTTTTAATTCCGAGGGCTGTTCAGCAACTCTTTTCGGTGAATTTGTGGGCTGGTCTTTCGAGGAATCATGTGGTTTGTCAATAATATCAACTTATTTCAACATAACGTGACTCTCTTTCTAAAAAGTACATTTTTCTGTTAATTTTGCATTAAAGTAAATATGTTTTTCTGGTCTCACTCTCACTTGCTTCTTTGTTTCATAAAGATAACGCACTAGTTTTCAAGCTCTAAAATTCATTTATCGGTTTGTTAATCTGAATCAGATCGAAGAAAAAGTTGAGAAAGAA